ATTTTTAGTATGTAAAATTTTTTCATATGCAACACTCAATAATCGTTTTTAGAATTTTCATAATTGAGTCTTAGGTTCTTCATTCATTACTCTGGTTTTTAAGAAGACAGAGGAGGTGATGGGTATATATATAATATAATTTTCATATATTGTCAAGATATACGATTCTTGATTAAGTTACTACAGAGCTTACGAAAGACTTTTATGTACTAAAAATCTCAAGTTACTCCCTTGGTGAATTTGTTATAAACATAACTTTGAATTTTGAAATCTTCATGTATTTCAAAATTTATGGTCTGATTACCATTATGTTTAGTAAGGAAAATCAAAAAATTTTAGGATGGTGTGTTTTACATGTTTGAAGACAATGATCAAGTGTTCTCTTGTTTGTACTGAGTTACAGGTTCCTTATACGAGACTCAAGTTACTAACAAGTCATACGAAGATTATTGAATTGCTTTGGAATTGAAGAACTTTGAAATAGAATGCTACGAAGTTGAAAATAATGTTGTAAAAGTGGTTTCAATATAAGAAAGTGAATAAAATATGAATTTCTTACTTTATCCCTAAAATTTTAAATATTTTTAAATTTTTCCGTCAGCTTTAACGGTCAGGGACCAAATGCGACACTTTGCTCATAACTGATGGACTAAAAATGGATATGGTCATAATTCAGGGACTGAGTCGTCGCTACCATTATAACTCAGGGACTAAACTTGCAATTTTCCCAAAGAAGAAATTAGTGGATCTTTTTTATATTGTTGAAAGTAGTAGACGAGGATCTGTTTTAGTCAATTGACTTTGAATTCTTGAAAAGTTGCTTTTGCGTGTTTCCATTCACCGCGAAAGACACTTTAGTCATAGTGAACTTCTTCTTTCTTTTTTTTTTTTTTCTATTTCCTTTTTTATTTAGGGGAGTCGGAGTGGAGTGACGGTGTAATTTAATAGGTCAATAATTAAACATTAGTATGGTGAATTTGAAAAAGTTTTAAGAATTCTTTAAGCGTTAAACTTTTAATTTTGTAATTACAAAAATAATAAACATTTAATTGGATTGTTCCCATCACTGAACTATTTTTATCATTATACTTATCACAAATTAAAATATTTAATGGTTGGAGGGAAGAAATTATGTGGGAAAAGAATTGTAATTCTATGGGAGATGAATTACTAGGAATAAAGTAAAAATTTAAATTCCAGAGTTTGGTTTACATGAATATAATTATTAGAAATTTTAATTCCAATGTTTAGTATACATAGGAATTGAAAGGAAATAAGTAGTATAAAGTCCAAAATGTCTATTGTTGTTGTGGGCCTCAATTTTAAGTTAAAAAAAGGAAAGGGTAATTTTGTACAATCGTTATACCTGCACCACGGCGCACACAGCACTGTGCGCCCCGCGCCTCCAAAAATGACGTCGTTATGTTAAGTTGTGTAGGAAGTTGACGCGATTATATACATTATGGTATATAATTATGTACATTTGTTTATATAATTATGTACATTTTTTATACAATTATGTACAATTTTTTTATACAATTACGTACATCCGAAACAAGAAATTTATGTGTATTATGTTAAGAGTTTATGTGTATTATACATGTTAAAAATTTATGTGTATTATGTATTATTTTAGATTATGTGTATTATCTTTTGAAAAAAAGTATGTGTATTTTCTTATGCAATTATGTGCATTTTAGTATAAAATTCTGTGTATTTTAATATACAATTATGTACATTTTTGAATCATGAGATTTTTTTTAAAGAAAATTAACAATCGACACAGGAAAGCGGAATTCCAAAAAAAAAAAAAAATCAAAACGACGTCGTTTTGCACCAGGGCCCGCAATGCGATGCGCGTCCTGGTGCACGATATAAATTGCCAATTTTGTCTCATGGTTACCTTTTTTTCTTCCTAAAACCCATGGAATTAAAATCCCAGGGGGACATGAGATTTTAATTCCATGAAAATAAGGGAATTACAATTCCGTGAAATTACAATTCCTTCCAACCAAATTAAGAAATTTATGGCCTTTGTAATTAGGTGGGAATGAAATTTAAATTCCCTCAAACCAAACGCCATGTTAGAGTTAGTTTCTCTCAAAACAGCAAAATCCAAAATAAAGACTGACTTTAAAATAAAAAAAAAAAGAATATTTTGTATAGGAAAAATGACACTTTTTTTTTTTTTTGATTCCATGAGTTATATGCTTATAGCACTTTCCCCCCTAAATTATTCATGTATCCATATTTGTCCCTAAGTTATGCTAAAAGTGACGGGTTTTCCCCATTTTATGTTAGATGGAAATTTATATCCTTAAAAATAAGTAGTTTATTTATTTTTCTTCTCCAACAAATTATTGCTTATATGTATGAAATGAATGAATGATCACGGTAGTTCGTAACACAAAACTCACATATGTATGCTGAAAGATTAGGATAATAATGTTTTTCTTTAAAATAATATTTGGAAATACTAATTTTATTCAATTTGAAAAAAAAAAAAAAATCTTACAACTTACCAATCTTTCTTTACTATAGTAAAGGAAGATTTTCTTCCCAAACTCAATCATCTCTGACCTAATTCCCAGTAATTAAGGTTTGATCTGTAATTTGTTGAGAAGTTCCATGCATTATTTATCATTTCTGATAATATATGCTCCTGGGTGCTAACTGCTTCATTATTGAGGGCATCTAACTCAATTGAAATACTAATTAGCTGTTGCTGCATTGGTATTGGTAGAGTGAGTGCTCTCTTGCTTTCCTAGCTATCATTGATTTTGGTCCTTGTGCCTTAACGTTTTTTCTTTCTCTTCTGTATGTTATGTCCACCTGATCATGAAGCTTTTATGTTTAGGAGGGTATCTTGATTTTGTAATTTTTAAGTGTCCAAGTTTTTCCTTTTGTCTTGCTGGGTATGTCTGCAATTTATAATTAAGCTAATATGATTTTCTGGGCTTTGTGAAATCAATTTTGGACAGATCACTTGGCATGTACATGTTCAATCATTTAAGCATTTTAATGACTTCTTTTGACCCCCACTGCTCAAAAGCTAGGTTATCCCATGTCTAGCTGATACGGAGTAATATATTTGGTTGTGATCTCACTTTGGCTAGGAGACCTATAAATTTCTAAAAGTGGTTTGATGTATTATATTGGTTTATCTCCTTTAACACTCATGTTTCTCTGAAGACTCATATCCTGTTATCCATTGCTGTAGATACACAATGGAACGACCTCGATTCAGTCACCATTTGGAAGCTAGCTATCAAGTTCATTTGCAAAGACTTCTGGTCTGAGCTCTTTAAGAACTTAAAGACAAATCACAGAGTGAGTTTGAGAATTCACACTAGCTTGTTTCTTAAGCTATTATGAGCTCATTATGTGTGATCTTTTGTCTTGCTAGGGTACCTTTGTGTTGCAAGATAATTGGTTTCGCTGGCTATCTCGGATCGATGCCAATGGATCCATCTCTTGAAACTTCTGGTTCTATTCAAGATCCTGAGAACAAAGCTGCACAAGCAATAGGCATGCATCTCTATTTCCCTGGCCTTGTGGAATCATCAGAGGTGCACTTTCAAATCTGGGAATTCCTTGTGCACTATCTGCAGATATATCTAACCTGCCTGCATGTAAGTTGTGTCTTTTATTGTTTTGTGGTATTATTGATTTATTTCATATTCATCCTTCAACAAAGAAACATGCTAATACTATTGTATGGAAGGATAAATATAAGTCTATATACTAAAGTAGTACAATTTTTAATTTGCCAAAATTGGGACCTTAGGGCATTACATTAATAATACTTCTAACTTAATCAGAATTTCAGATAAAATCTATCTATATATTTTTAATTATAGCAGCCTATTATTTGGCATCTCTATTTAAATTATTTTCATACCTAAACAAGACATCTTTCTTAGTTTCACACTAATTATTTACAAAAGTATTAGTAATAGAATTGACCATAAAATATGTTTGAGATTCTCTATATTGTTCTTCAATATTCACTGAATCGTACATTTAAATAATAAGATGATTGCCTTACTTTTGAAAATTTTATCTTGAATTTGAGAATTTCTCCAATTTATCTTATATTTAGATATTTGATTTATTACTAATATTTTACGGAAGAAGTAAGGACAAAATACTCTGTGATCATGTCAATTCATTATTAAAAATTTTGGGGGTCAAGTCGGGCCTTTTTATTTTTATTTTTGGACAAATTATTTATTTAATAAATAAAAAAAAAAAACTATCCCCAGTGATTGCAAGCTAGTATATCTTGATTTTCCCACTAGCAAAACCTTGATGAATTGATAAAACCGTAGAGGTCAAAGCTTATTTCTGATGCAGTCTTATGTGTTTATAATTTTAATTTACAGGTTCGTTTGTGGTACGTATTAAGGCTTGACAAGCTGTTGCAAGAATTAAGGGTTGGGCTTTAGATCTGGTCAGCCATCACATATGAACCATCTTCTTCTTACATTCTCTTCTCTTTCTCTTTCCTTTGCCTTTGCTTTGGGTTACAACTTACAGAAACTGGAGTTCAAATTTATGCATGAATCAATCAGCATACATCACTGTTCTGCTCAAGTCTAGAGTTTCAACTGAACTATTGTAATAGCCATAAGCCACATATATATATATATATATATATATATATATATATATATATATATATATATATATATATATATATATATATATATATATATATATAGTTTTGTTCAATTGAGACATTTTAACATCCAACACTGCTAGCACTGCTGCTGCAGCAGGAGGAGGAAGAGGTTCAACTTGTTTTGCTTTTACATAAACATGCGGCGTACATACATTAGCATGAATCATATCTAAATGTATGTTTATTTTCATTCTATTTACAATTATACTATATGTTACATTGAAATTATATTTTTGTAACAGTAATATATAATACTTCATTACATTAGTGTTTATAGTCTAAATAAAAGAAATCCTAATAGAATATGACAAACATGTAATACAAATATTATGACAACAATTTTTTATATAATTTGGGTGGTAGGGTAAAACACAAGGGTAAGTGTAGCTCACATGATTATATTTATAAATGTTGTAAGATCCAATCAAAATCAAAATTATAATTAAAATTGTTATATATATAGTTCCCAGCATCTATCTCTTCAGGCGGAGCTTTTAAGTTTTAATGCTTGCTGCACCAATGACCAAACACAGATAGATAGAGCACCAATGACCAAACACAGATAGATAGATAATGAACAACAGATTTGCATTTGCAGTGGCAGTGGCCGTGGCAAATGCCCCCCTTCACACTCATCAGCAGCAGCATCATTAAGCCTGTATATTCCAATTCTTCCACTGCTTCAAACGCCCTGCTAAACATGAGGAGCAACTTTAGCCCAAATTCAACCTTATTGGAGAACCCACCGCCCCCCTAATGCAGTGTTTTGATCCCATTGTTCAGCTTTCACACCCCTCCCAGGAGGCAGAGGACGAATGGAGTCACAAAGTTGATGATGATACAAGGGATTCTTTTTTGTTTTTGTTTTTCCTGTGATGGTATTAATACAACATTTTGAATATCCCAAACATTTGAGTGTACTGAATTCGATCTGTTGTTCAGAACAATTCATTTTGTGTTTTGCACAAATTAAGGTAGCAAATCTCTTCAAAGGGAGTGAGTGCAGTGCAACCTTTCCATCTTCATGAATGTAGTAGAGAATGCAAGAAATGGTATGCAATATATCACATGATACACCAGATAAATCAGTCTTAAGAAACATACCTCTGCAATATAAGGAAGAATATGTTTCTGGGCATCGCTTAGTTGTTGATCTTCTTTAGAGAGTTCACAAAGGAATAGTTGGAGAAGGATACAAAAAGCTTACGAAACCTGCAAGAGAGAACACTATCCTTTTCATTTTTCTATTCAATCTATTGGATTCCCATTCCCCTTAGGAAGAAGAAGAAGAAGAAGAAGAAGAAGATCCTTTTCATTTTTCTATTCAATCTATTGGATTCCCATTCCCCTTAGGAGGAGGATAATACATCTGCACGGTGACACCAATTGGAATAAAGAGTAAAGGCTTACGTACCAAACCCATTGGCTCCGGTGTTGGCCCATTGCAGCATAGCTTTTGCAAGGACGTTCATTTATCAAGAAATGCATTTGTCCATTTGGATGGAGCTTTGCATATAAGATAGACAACCAGATATCAACTGGTCCAATGTATTTGCGCAATATATTAGTGCTGACCTGAAAATCGTAATACAGAATCAGTAATGTATAGCAATGAGAAGTGCAAAATAATAGGACCTCATGATATGAATTGCCAATCAAATTCATCAGACATGAAAACAACAATTAGTGCTTGAAGAAGTAGAGGACTTACAAGCTCCCATGCTTCAACATTTTTGTGTGAAGTATCCTGCAACAGTTTTCTGACATATATACAAAGCCAGAAAAGAAAAGAACTTGTGCAGTTAGAATAAAACTTTCCATGGTACTATAAGCAGTAACAAGAATGTCTTAAAGGAACATTCCTTGATTTAACAACTTAAGATCAACTCACCGCACACCTCGATGCACATCACAATGATTACAATGGCCAGAAACACCATAATTGTCGAAACTAATGACCTGTAAAAGAAAGAAAAGAACTTATTAAGACCAATCAAAAGAAAACTATACAAAATAACTACTCCATAAACAAAAGAGGAAATGCATGAAAACAGTGAGATAAAAATGTGTCATTGGAGATAATGCAAATATGCAATACTTTAAAAATAAATAAATAAAACTGTAGCAGCACTTAAAATAGTAATGATAGTTGCCATCAACTTTTAAGCCAAGAATCAAAGTCAACAACGGAATTGCCAGCCGTGGTATAAGTTTTACCCATCAAGACCAGATTTGCCAGCCATGGTATAACCCTATACCCAAGTAATTCTTTTTGATATGTATTAAGCCCATCTTCAATTTTCCATTTGTGAACATTACAAATATAAAATAAAAAACTACATTTTGCAGATAGAAAACCAGCTGATATGTAATTAACCACCAACTTTGTGTTTGTATCTCTAAAGGCCAATGCCAAACTGGGCTTGGAAATTACTTACTACATCAATAGAATGGTTGTCTACTTCCTCCTTCACAATTCCAGCCAACAAATCACTGTTCCAAATTTTGCCAAAACCATCCTAGACATAACAGTATACAATTCTGAGGAATGAGGATGATTCAGAGAAGATGCTAAGAAGTTGCAGACTTTTCTGAAACAAACCTGCAAATCTGGATGATCCAAGATATTTACTTGCTGTGGAGAAACCTGAGTTAATTCAGAACAGATCAATAAACCATGCAAAGGAAGATCATCATAGATTTCTGATATAATAACCAGAACTTGATTATAGTAAAAAAAAAAACACAGTAGAGGTACAAGCACTAAACAAAATAAGTCTGAAGATTTTTTTATAAAGGGGATAAGGGTCAAATAAGCCCTCCAACTATTGTCAAAACAGCAATTAGCCATCAAACTTAAAAAACCTCCAATCACATACTCAAACTCAATAAATCATGCAATTAAACCCCTTTTACCAGATTTTTGCCTGTAAGCTAGAGTGTATAATTAATAATCAATTTTACATTTTTTTTAAATGTCTTTCGTCATCGACACCAATGCTAAATCATTTTTTTTTCACCCCAAAACTACCATAGGCAAACACAAATCATGCAATGGGTTCTCCGGTCAAGAGATCTTTGGGTTCTTTGACAAATATGGGTTCTCAGGAAAAAACCTAGAAATTTTGGGTTTGAAGAACAAACAGAAATTTTGAGTTTATACTTCAAATCTGAAAAGTCATCTACCACGTTTGTAGGAATATGCTGTTTTTTGGTAGTGTAATTTGGGGTGTAGTTCATTTTCAGACACCATTTTGTAAAAAAAAAAAGAAGAGAAGGGTGACATGTCCAATGAATTTGCTAAATAAGAATAAGAACTATAAATAAATGCTACATGGTAATCCATGTAAGCAAGATGGCCAGATATTAAAAAGCAACCAACTATTTGGTAGAACTGCATGATTTCAGCTTGTTTAATGAGTCAATTACACTTTTTTTGTAGTTTACTGGCTGAATGCTTAATTGCATTTCCTTATGTGTTTAGTGGTCTATTTGGCCCTTTTTCATTATTTTTCTTATTGTTAGACAATAGACACCATGTATAATGACATTTTAGCAAAAAATTAGCCATGTAAGATTATTAAAGAAAAAATTGCCATGTTAGTAATTTTTTATAGGTAAACTGTTGATTACCACAAAAATAGTTCAATTGTACAATTTTTTTCAAGTTCAGGGGTTCAATAGGAGATTTTTTAAGTTTGATGAAGAGCTTATTTTACCCTTATAATAATAATAATAAATAAATAAATAAATAAATAAATAATAATAATACTAAATAATAATAATAATAGTAATAATAATAATAATAATAATAAAACCTAAGATTCAATTGGTGGAATTAAATAAAGGCTCAATGCACAAGCAAGAATGCTTATCAGATTTCATATTACCTTAAGGGTTGCAGCAGCCAGGTAGAGCTCTTGTTTTCTAGTATCCCCCATGCCATCTGCATTACCTACACGTAGACATTAAATTTTATTATTTTTCAAAATGATCAGTTGCAACAAATCCAATTCAACATTTTTTTTTTATTTTTCATTTTCTCCTGGAGTCAAATTCTCATTAGTACAAGTCAATCGAATGGCCCTCTAACCTCAGACAATTAGCCTCTTTAACTTCTATTAGAAGAGGGTGAATACCTTTTGTGAGAAATAGGAGGAATATGCGATCATTTCTTCAAAGTATAAAAAAAAAATGAACATTATTCCTTCGTTTTATCAAATTGAACATAACTACTTAAATTCCAAAAAATACTGCACCACAAGTAGGAGCATATGGAAGAAGTTACAAGGATTCAAGGAATAGTATTCTAAATACAAACTGCTTTAATTCATATATCTTATGTGCCAAAGAAGCATGCAATTCAGGAAAACCAAATTGCTATCCAGTAATTAACAAAATAAATAAGATAACACACGCATCAGTTTCATGTAAACCCTTTTGGAAGGAAAATAAAACATACACCTAGCATTTCTGTATAAGGTAAATGATTAAGAACCTAATTGATGTGCATAATGGCACGAATGCTCACTAGGAACATCTAGTTGCACATCAAATGCTAAGACTATTTTCAGATTTATATAGAGCTGCGATATTTCTTGTAACAAGCATGTGAAGAGCTGAAGTTGAAAGCATTTTAAAACAGGCAAAAAATACTAAGAATTGAAAATAAAAACCACCTGTAAGATGCCAATGGTAATATATTTGAATCCCAGTAAAACCAATAACACTTGTGTAACTTTAACCAAATCACCATATAAACATGCCAGGTGACAAAAAATATTGTTGAATCCCCAATTGCAGGCTCTCTGTTTAGTTCTTTTAACAATAGTATAGATAACAAAGATTATGAACTTTTGACAGTATCTTACCAGTTGACATGCATAATATGTGTACGGTGTGCCCCTTTGAAGTTAGGTAATTGATGGTTGGAGCAAAGAACCTGCAAAGTTACAGATTATAACTAAAATTTATTGGGTCACATTATATAATTGAACAAGAGAGATTATATCCATTAACTTAGTAAAAAAGTCACTTGCCCAACTAACCACAAACAAAAAAGCTGTAACTTCAGATAAGTCAGAATGTAATGGCCATTTTTGGCCACTCAAAAAGTGGGATGTTCTATACTGAATACATTTTTTGATGTTCTCAGCTGGGATAATTGTTTATCTAATGAGGATGATCTCAGGTAAGAAAAGTATTTATCTCACTTAAATCTCTGAAGGAAGGAGCATAACATCATCTCAAGATAAAGAACAAACTTCTGTTTTCAACCTTACATAGATTCATCATCAGGATGGGCAATAACCAACAAAACATTTCTCTTCAGAGAAACTCCACCTGAATAATTAACAGAAATCCAAAAAAAAAAAAAAAAAAAAAAAGAAAAAAGAAAAAAAGAGGATCATAATGGATCTCTTATAAATTCACACACATACAAGTTTCCAAAAGAATACATCATACCATATGAATATACACATAAACGGAGATGAGGGAATTTTTGAAATGTTGCACTACGGAATCAAAACTAAGGTTAAGCTTTAGAAGGGCTGCCTTCTTACCATCATCTAAAAATGTAGCCTTGGAGCCAGACAGAGATTCATGGAGAACTTTGCAAAGAGAAGCCACCCATATTACAGTCAATGAAACAACAATCAGCAACCACTCCATTTGTATTCTCTAGTCTCTGCAATAATCAGATATCATAAAGCCCCTAGCTAGAAATGCAGAATCCTGAATCAACTATAGATTAAAGAAAAAGTACTGCAATTAAATGGGTATGGTACTTTACAGCTTCATAAGATTAATAGACCATTGATCAAGTACCAATTGAAAAATGGAGGAAAGAAATCTATATATATAAAGGAAGCCGGAAGTGGCTCCATTTCCCATCCAAATTATTCTGCCCCTTTTTTTTTTCCAAATTTCTTTAAACTATATTGCTTAATAGTCTGACAAAGACATTTAACTACTCTGAATTACAGCTGTATTCCATTTTCCAATAGTACTTAGCTTACTTACGGAAGAAGAGCAAGCATGGTGTTCTAAAAGTACATAATTTTAAAAATAAATTTTGGGGGGAAACTATCTATAAATAGCACATATTGCATACATGTTGAAACCCACATTTGCATTGTAGCTGCTCTATCTCATGATGATGTTCAAGAAACAAAGGTGATATTTTTCTTTCTATTATTTTAAACCATTCTCTATCCCATGAAGAACTGAATTACATTTGGTAATCATCTACATCATCTACACAGCCAACATTGACCTTTGCTTATATACAGAAAAGGGACAAGGAAACAAAAAACGAGTGATGCATTCTTCTTTGACAATTGAAGCTTGATGTCTAGCCACTTTGTTCTTGGGTCTCAAACCCATCTTTATCACACCCAAAAAGCCATTAGAGACTTTTAGAGCACACATATCAGCTATTTGAATCAAGAAGAACAAAAAAAAAAAAAAAAAAAAAAAAAAAAAAAAAAAAAAAAAAAAAAAAAAACAATCAAAAGCATGGAATGCTTATTTCATGATGCAGAGGTACGTAGATAAATTTTGTAATTTTCTTTCAAAACATTGTTAGCTAGACAAAGAGGAGGTTGATCAGTAAGAACTAACAGGTACAACTTCTCATTCATGTTATTTATATTCTATATAAATCATAGTAAATATACTTCTAATACATACTTCATTATATAGTATCAGATATTATTGGATAGGTGATGGAGATATACTCTCCATAACAAGACTTATAGATGTCCTCATTGAGGAAGATCCTAAGTTAATATTTTTTGTTCACTGTTTTATATTCAAACAACAATTATGAATTTCTATATATACACAAATTAGAGAAATAGAGCACTAGAAATTGTCCTGTGAGCAGAGTTCTCATCAATAACTATTAAGATGAATGAAATCTTCCAAATTATAGACCAAGTATGACTTATTCTCATTGTCAACACTGCTCAAATTGAGAAAAAAAAAATATAGGAGACCTTCAATCTCATTTTTATGTTTGCATGCATTATAGAGCTAGCCCTACCACTATGCAGTAATCATTGATAGCAAACATTGAGTACACTATAGCAATTCTTAATAGTGACTTTTGAGTTCTCTACAAGCTGATATATATGGCATTCAAGAAACAAACATGTTCACTATATATTCATTCGGAAGGGAAACTTTTTCAAGTGGATAGCAAACAAATGCAAGAAGAATGAAAAAGTTGAAGGCGTCAACTACTATACATGGAAAGAGAAAACACAATATTGAAGATAAAGGTACAATATAAGCACACCTGCTATTTTAGATTCAAACTCTTTATCAAATAGACTTACTATTTGTCTTGCAGTATTTTCCAGTTTTGCTGTACACATGGGTCTCAAATCTGCAACATATTTATAAAATAACTCAATGTTAAAACCAGAAAAAAAAAAATTCAGTTGGAACAAATTAATTTCATAAATAAATCTGTCATTCCATCTGATTTGGATAGTCAATAGTATAAAAGGCTAGATCTTTTGTTTTTTCTCATGTCATTAAATTCATATTTAGACTCTTTACTTACTGACCATTCCAATTATTCATTCTTAAAATGTTTTTATGTAGCCATACATTCTAGCTTTGGTTTTTTTTTTTTTTTTTTGGTGTGTGTGTGTAATTTCATGATTCAGAGGTAAGTAAAAAGCATTTATAGATGTTTCCAAAAAATAATGAGTGTATATAGATATATTGTAACGAAGAAGGAACAGGTGGAGAGTTTACATTTAACATTTGCATAGATTCGCCGAAAGTTTCTAAATTCTGTTCAAGCTTGCAGATTGGTGAAGATAATCTTTCCACTACGACTGGTGATCTAACTCAGCCTGGGCAGAATGCATAGGTAAAACTTACTGCAGGAACAAAATTTAAATGCATCAAAATAACTTTATTTTTATTGTGTTTAGGGTATTTTTATTCTCAAGCGGTATGTGTGTGTATATATATATAGATATATAAATATATAAAAATTTTAACATAATATTATAGTAATTTTAAGCTCACAAATTAATCTTACAGAAATTCAAATTTATTTTTTGACAAAAAAAAAATTGAAATTAATGTATATATGTAAAGAATAATTTAGATTAAATAACAATAAAAAAAAGGATTTAAGAAATATATTTTACTTCGGATTATTACCAACACATAGAGGAAGAAATTAAGTATACTTTTTTTTTATATTAAAACACAGTACATATACAATTCTAATATTAAATTGCAGGTAAAGAAGATCAAGAATGACAAGGACAAACCTGGTTTCTCCTTGACTTGGGAAGAAATCCTTTCTTCAGTCTCATCCTAAAATTTTAGCAAGCTTAACAAAACAAAAACACTAACAAGTCAACATTTGGAATTTCAAAGCAATGACAAGGCAGAAACCGGGGGTAAGGACCAAAGAAATGAGAGAGTATATACGCAGGCGCACACACGAAGTATATACGCAGGAAACGAATGAAAAATTCAAACACTAAGTAAATATATATAAATATATATATATATATATATATATATATATATATATATATATATATATATATATATATATATAAGTGATACGCAACAAAGGAAAGAAATAATTGGTGGTTTAATTAAGGGATGGTCTACAAGGAATGAATATATGTAATTAGAGGATAATTGACTAAATATTAGTATAAGGAAATTATGTATATTAGAATATATTATTACCTTGTATAGTTAGAATAATTGTAATAACTTAATTATTATATGTGTTAGTAATTTAGTATAAATAGGTCCATTGTATATGAATACGGGGAACCATTCAGAGGAAATATATTGTTATTCTAGTCTATTCTTCTTGGAGCCCACACACGCTCGAAGTGTGAAATTGGAGTTTGCCGTGACTCGAATACGGTTAGGAGCCAGAAGCCTGCTCGAAAGGTTTCTTCAGTTACGTACTCAGTACGTAACTGAAGAAACCTTTCGAGCAGGCTTCTGGCTCCTAACCGTATTCGAGTCAGTACGTAACTGAAGAAACCTTTCGAGCAGGCTTCTGGCTCCTAACCGTATTCGAGTCACGGCAAACTCCAATTTCACACTTCGAGCGTGTGTGGGCTCCAAGAAGAATAGACTAGAATAACAATATATTTCCTCTGAATGGTTCCCCGTATTCATATACAATGGACCTATTTATACTAAATTACTAACACATATAATAATTAAGTTATTACAATTATTCTAACTATACAAGGTAATAATATATTCTAATATACATAATTTCCTTATACTAATATTTAGTCAATTATCCTCTAATTACATATATTCATTCCTTGTAGACCATCCCTTAATTAAACCACCAATTATTTCTTTCCTTTGTTGCGTATTAAATGCTTCTGAATTCAATTCAAAAGATGTCCGAATCAAAATACGCAACAAAGGAAAGAAATAATTGGTGGTTTAATTAAGGGATGGTCTACAAGGAGTGAATATATGTAATTAGAGGATAATTGACTAAATATTAGTATAAGGAAATTATGTATATTAGAATATATTATTACCTTGTATAGTTAGAATAATTGTAATAACTTAATTATTATATGTGTTAGTAATTTAGTATAAATAGGTCCATTGTATATGAATACGGGGAACCATTCAGAGGAAATATATTGTTATTCTACTATTCTAGTCTATTCTTCTTGGAGCCCACACACGCTCGAAGTGTGAAATTGGAGTTTGCCATGACTCGAATACGGTTAGGAGCCAGAAGCCTGCTCGAAAGGTTTCTTCAGTTACGTACTCAATATATATATATATATATATATATATATATATATATATATATATATATATATATATTGATGCTTACCTTTAACTTTGATGTTGGATTTTTCCTTAGATTTGTTGCCGAGCAGATCCGCTACAACTAAGCTAGATCTATTCAGAAATTCACGGATTAACGATGAGAGGACGCATTGTAGAATGAACTTTCTAGCTAGATTCGTAGAGAGAGAAAGGAGTTCAGACAGAGGCAAGAAGAAGGGTAAGCAAGGAAATATGAGAATGGTGTCTAATCTAAAGCTAGCATTCTGGTAATATAAACTAAAGGGGCATGTCAATACCATGAAACATGCTGGAAACATCATTCATATTATAGAAATTGATAAGGAAATAGATAGAACAGATTTAGGACCTGCTTTAGCACTCAAAATTACTAGTAATATAAGATCATGAAACATAGCAAGTACTTACAGCATCTGACTCAGATAGAATATTAAACTTAATTCCCCTCAAGACACCTGATGGCACCGGGTACTCTATATGTAGATCATGCTCCATCAAAGGTGGCAAGCTTGTGTTCTGGAAAGGGAAATACAGAGTTAAAGTAAGAAATTTAAAGTCAATCAAGGATCTTTTATGTGCTAACACTTGACTGTTAAATATTATTTGCACTATAACATCACATATTCTTTTCAAGACATTAATGATACCAGCTTGGAAATTTTGCTTCTAGAAATTAGAGCAGTACAACCTACAATTAAAACAGCTGATGATACCTGTAGCCTTGCTGGTATCTCCTCGGCTTAGACCAGTGTTAATCAAGAAAATATCATAAACAAGATATCTTCAGGGCTTGCTGCTGTTGAAAAAATTAATTGTAGTTGAATCACTTAAAACTAAGCTTGTGAAATTACTCAATTATCCAGACATAAGGATTATGAAGCATCCTAATGAATAAATATTGCAACTGACTTCACAAGCCACACATGCAAAATAACAGTTCATTGCCCAATATCAAAATAGTCAATCATATTAAAAATGGTGTGTACTTTCATTCCCAATAACAGGTTAAAATTAGAGAAAAACCTTCAAGCTTTTGAAGGCTATGGGAATGTGGAATTTCACTTGCAAAAGAATATATTTTGGCAATTTGGCACAAGTATGATATCTGTCCATCTAACTGCTTTAGCCACCATATAATTTCATTACTTTTTGAAGTACCGGGAAACCTATACAGACTAAGTTAAAACATGAAGCAGCCAAACAATAAATCTCCTAATTAACAGAGTAAACACAAAGCTCGGCATCAAACATCCTCTTTAGTTTTTATCTGTATGGGTTCATTTTATATGCATTGAGACACTTTAATCACCAAACTAGAGTCATTAGATCTAGGGTATTCAACCAAAATTTCAGTAGCAAGTTCCCCCACCCAAAAATAACACACAGAAAAGAATGTGATTAAGGATAAAAGATAAATGCCACACTTGGCACTCAATATTTCTTCAGAAGAAGAAAAGAAATCTAACGGTATCATTTAATCATTAACCGATGAGATGATAAATGTTAGTTACAAGCATATGATCAAAAATGAAAGTTAAAATGTGGCATTGCTAATTTCTGTAATGAAACAGTAGAATCAACTGATTCATGAAATCCATTAGAGATGAAATGATAACCACCAAAATTGATATGTCTAAATTGAGGGAAGTGGAAATCTGCAATTACTTGCATTCAATTGAATACTGAACAACAGACATGAAACACCACATCCCACATTTCTCAATTGAAGCAACAGGAAAAAAAAAAAAATCTGGGTTGGAGATATAAACAACAGAGGCCTCATCCCATATTTCTCCATTGAAACAACACATTAGCAACTTAATTCATTAACCCATTTTATCAATCAAATTAAATGTTCTTAATTCCATTACAAAACCAAACACCAACTACCTCTTCCATTATATTTTCAAACCCAAAGCTAAATCCCATGGACACAACTAAATTCCCATCTCCTTAATAAGCTCAAAACCTCATGCAGAATACATCCATCGGTCACAGCATCAGAGTTCAAACAAAATCCTAGGAACTGCCACTCAGCAAGAAACACAAAACATGCAAAACTCATTGAACAGAATCCGTGCATTCATACCCCGAGGAGGCATGATCAACAAAGGAAACACGCGCCCTGTATGAAGTACATCCTCATGTAAAAAAAAACCTTTATATAAGAGGGTTTATATAAATCATATTACTAAACATTAAAAAAAAAAAAAAAAAAAAAAAAAAACCCCTACCTGCAACAGATCGAAGCCGGCGGTTGTGGCGTCACAGGACAGCCGTCGTCGTCTTAGGGCAAGGGAGCGGTGCAGATCGACGGCGTGGTGGCGGCTGTGGCATCGGCGTAGCGGTGGTGGGTGTTGTGCGACGGTGGTGTACTGTGTGTCGCGACGTCTACGGTGGTGGTGTGCGACGGTGGTGGCCGGTGTGCGACGTCGGTGGTGTGAACGGCGGTGCGGGTGTTCGACGTACGTGAAGCTGAAGCAGATGACAGATCTGAAGAAGCTGAAGCAGTGAGGCGTCGTCTTGGGAGATTATTAGATCTGGGTTAAAATTAAGCAACCATTTCTCTTTAAAATGGTTGCCTAATATAAAGCAATTTGTATTTGATTTTTAAGGTGGCCTATTATAAAGTAATATTTTTTATTTTTTTAAAAATACATAATAAAAAAATGCAATGGACAACCATTGCAGCTAATAATAGTGGCGCATTATTGATCACTTATTTACAAAATTGCCACCGCGAATTTTTGGACTAAGATTAGGCAACCATTCTTTTAATAATGGTAGCCTATGGTCAATCTTCTATGTTCAATTTTGTACTAGTGATGTAAGCAAGATGACCCGATATTAAAAAGCAACCAACTATTTGGTAGAACTGCATGATTTCAGCTTGTTTAATGAGTCAATTACACTTTTTTGTAGTTTACTGGCTGAATGCTTAATTGCATTTCCTTATGTGTTTAGTGGTCTATTTGGCCCTTTTTCATTATTTTTCTTATTGTTAGACAATAGACACCATGTATAATGACATTTTAGCAAAAAATTAGCCATGTAAGATTATTAAGGAAAAAACTGCCATGTTGATAATTTTTTATAGGTAAACTGTTGATTACCACAAAAATAGTTCAATTGTACAATTTTTTTCAAGTTCAGGGGTTCAATAGGAGATTTTTTAAGTTTGATGAAGAGCTTATTTTACCCTTATAATAATAATAATAAATAAATAAATAAATAAATAATAATAATACTAAATAATAATAATAATAATAATAATAATAGTAATAATAATAATAATAATAATAAAACCTAAGATTCAATTGGTGGAATTAAATAAAGGCTCAATGCACAAGCAAGAATGCTTATCAGATTTCATATTACCTTAAGGGTTGCAGCAGCCAGGTAGAGCTCTTGTTTTCTAGTATCCCCCATGCCATCTGCATTACCTACACGTAGACATTAAATTTTATTATTTTTCAAAATGATCAGTTGCAACAAATCCAATTCAACATTTTTTTTTTATTTTTCATTTTCTCCTGGAGTCAAATTCTCATTAGTACAAGTCAATCGAATGGCCCTCTAACCTCAGACAATTAGCCTCTTTAACTTCTATTAGAAGAGGGTGAATACCTTTTGTGAGAAATAGGAGGAATATGCGATCATTTCTTCAAAGTATAAAAAAAAAATGAACATTATTCCTTCGTTTTATCAAATTGAACATAACTACTTAAATTCCAAAAAATACTGCACCACAAGTAGGAGCATATGGAAGAAGTTACAAGGATTCAAGGAATAGTATTCTAAATACAAACTGCTTTAATTCATATATCTTATGTGCCAAAGAAGCATGCAATTCAGGAAAACCAAATTGCTATCCAGTAATTAACAAAATAAATAAGATAACACACGCATCAGTTTCATGTAAACCCTTTTGGAAGGAAAATAAAACATACACCTAGCATTTCTGTATAAGGTAAATGATTAAGAACCTAATTGATGTGCATAATGGCACGAATGCTCACTAGGAACATCTAGTTGCACATCAAATGCTAAGACTATTTTCAGATTTATATAGAGCTGCGATATTTCTTGTAACAAGCATGTGAAGAGCTGAAGTTGAAAGCATTTTAAAACAGGCAAAAAATACTAAGAATTGAAAATAAAAACCACCTGTAAGATGCCAATGGTAATATATTTGAATCCCAGTAAAACCAATAACACTTGTGTAACTTTAACCAAATCACCATATAAACATGCCAGGTGACAAAAAATATTGTTGAATCCCCAATTGCAGGCTCTCTGTTTAGTTCTTTTAACAATAGTATAGATAACAAAGATTATGAACTTTTGACAGTATCTTACCAGTTGACATGCACAATATGTGTACGGTGTGCCCCTTTGAAGTTAGGTAATTGATGGTTGGAGCAAAGAACCTGCAAAGTTACAGATTATAACTAAAATTTATTGGGTCACATTATATAATTGAACAAGAGAGATTATATCCATTAACTTAGTAAAAAAGTCACTTGCCCAACTAACCACAAACAAAAAAGCTGTAACTTCAGATAAGTCAGAATGTAATGGCCATTTTTGGCCACTCAAAAAGTGGGATGTTCTATACTGAATACATTTTTTGATGTTCTCAGCTGGGATAATTGTTTATCTAATGAGGATGATCTCAGGTAAGAAAAGTATTTATCTCACTTAAATCTCTGAAGGAAGGAGCATAACATCATCTCAAGATAAAGAACAAACTTCTGTTTTCAACCTTACATAGATTCATCATCAGGATGGGCAATAACCAACAAAACATTTCTCTTCAGAGAAACTCCACCTGAATAATTAACAGAAATCCAAAAAAAAAAAAAAAAAAAAAAAAAAAAAGAAAAAAAGAGGATCATAATGGATCTCTTATAAATTCACACACATACAAGTTTCCAAAAGAATACATCATACCATATGAATATACACATAAACGGAGATGAGGGAATTTTTGAAATGTTGCACTACGGAATCAAAACTAAGGTTAAGCTTTAGAAGGGCTGCCTTCTTACCATCATCTAAAAATGTAGCCTTGGAGCCAGACAGAGATTCATGGAGAACTTTGCAAAGAGAAGCCACCCATATTACAGTCAATGAAACAACAATCAGCAACCACTCCATTTGTATTCTCTAGTCTCTGCAATAATCAGATATCATAAAGCCCCTAGCTAGAAATGCAGAATCCTGAATCAACTATAGATTAAAGAAAAAGTACTGCAATTAAATGGGTATGGTACTTTACAGCTTCATAAGATTAATAGACCATTGATCAAGTACCAATTGAAAAATGGAGGAAAGAAATCTATATATATATATATATATATATATATATATATATATATATATATATATATATATATATATATATATATAAAGGAAGCCGGAAGTGGCTCTATTTCCCATCCAAATTATTCTGCCCCTTTTTTTTTTTCAAATCTTCTACTATAATAAAGCAGAGCCAAAATTTCCCGCCAAAGTCAGGGTTGCAGTTCAATGGGCAGAAGCATTTTTACAAAATGCATGCATTTTATTTATTTATTTATGTCTTTGAAACTGATATTTAAATATCTTGAAACGTGAAAGGTTGCTTGAAAACTGTTCGATCTCCTAAGAATATTAATAATGAACCATTAATGCTTAATGCATATACAAAATACAGATACAGATATACACATATGTAGACTCAAAAATATTGTATAAATAGTGCACTAATCCGGCATTGTACTTCGCAAACGAAACCTTCTGAATGAAAAAGCTCTGCGAAATCAAATTGAAATGTCTTCTCAATATCTCCTTGCTTCACAGGTTAGCCCTATCCACAACAAGAGAGAAATCTGGGTGCGGTTGGTCCGACCTTATTGGATGCCAGCAAATTCTTTGCTATCAAAATACAATCAGGTAATTTATACAAAACTGTAAACACACTATAGATTAATTGTTCATCATTATTGATTTCTTCCCAACTTTCTGCTCCTGTGATTACACAATTTCACTTGCTATATTTTCAGTTCCTAACTTTTTTTTAATCATCTCTAGGATGCTGGCAGCTAATGAAGTTGAAATATTATATGCACCCTGTGAAGAAATATTTACTATTTTGGGGTTTTTTTGTTATATCTGTTCTGTATAACTGTTATCCAATTGTTTGCTATTTTTTTACTCAAAATTTCAGGTGCTTCAACTAAAACGATGCAGCAGTACAAGTTTGAGACATAATATAGGACATGAGAGATTATTGAAGCCCTCAATGGCCCAATATTCGATCTGTAATTTAAATGTTGGTTTCTTTTACCAAATAGCAATTTGTAATTTGTAGTTTTGTAGGGTTAAAGAGACTATTGTCTATTAGAATCCACACTTAGTTTTTATATTGTCCTAAATATTAATACACAACACCAACTAAACCAATTTCAATTACCAAATCCATTTCAGTTGTTTACAATGTCAACAAAAATCTATAGCTATCAGAATTCAACTTACAACAGGTGCTTTAAATAACATCTTATTAGTAGATATAAAAAAAAACATCATGACAGGAATAAAAATCAAGTAAAAAATACAGTCAAATTTATATTAAAATGAATCAGCACACATTCTGTTTATCCAAAAAAAAAAAATTGAAAAGTAATACTTAGAAAAAAGATTTGAGTTTTCAGAATTCTACTTTCATCATAGGAGTGCATTTAACAAAAAAAAAAGTCTCTTATAAGCAGATAAAAAAGTAAGATGATTGAAATAAAAATGAAGTAATTAAACACTAAGAAATAAATTTGTAGATAAATACATGCAAATTTAAGTAAAAAAAGAAGCACTATATCTTTTTAGAACATATAGAAATACTAAACCCTATATAGGCAAGAATATTATAATAAACAACTGGAAAACTCATATGAAGAGGGAATAGGTACTTCTCTTTTTCGATCAGCACTGTTTTACACGATTTGTTCATAGAATGAACAGGTCTGCCTCCGGTGTAGACGATTCCCAGATCAGTATATGGAATTTGTAACAAAATATCCTCATAAATTGCAAAAATTACCAGACACAGAATGCATGAAGGTGAGTTTGAACAAATGGATTGCTCTTCGACAGTGGATATTCCGTTGGAACCCCAACATGCCGGAAACAGCGTAGCTTTGGGATGATGTGTGGAGAATTGGGTCGAAGGCGGAGGGAATGAATCGTCGGCATATAATATCTAGGGTTTGGTATCAGGTATTTATAGTTGGGCTATTGGGTTCGGGTTTTGGGCTAGATAGGCGGATATGGACCAGGTCGATAATATATTTTGTGTTAGGCTCAGTAATGCAAGTTTCTCTTTAGTCCAATAGTATATGACGTTTTGTTGACTGATATGATTTTATTCAATCTGTGTGGACCATAATGTACATTTAGTACAAAAATAATATATTTTTAGTATATTAAAAATGTACATTATATTATATAATATACATTAATGCTTAGTATATCAAAACTGTTCAGTATATTTTTAGTATATCAAAACTGTTCAACTTCCTAAGAATATTAATAATGAACCATTAATGCTTAATGCATATACAAAATACAGATACAGATATACACATATGTAGACTCAAAAATATTGTAAAAATATTGCATAAATAGTGCACTAATCCGGCATTGTACTTCGCAAACGAAACATTCTGAAAGAAAAAGCTCTGCGAAATCAAATTGAAATGTCTTCTCAATATCTCCTTGCTTCACAGGTTAGCCCTATCCACACCAAGAGAGAAATCTGGGTGCGGTTGGTCCGACCTTATTGGATGCCAGCAAATTCTTTGCTGTCAAAATACAATCAGGTAATTTATACGAAACTGTTAACACACTATAGATTAATTGTTCATCATTATTTATTTCTTCCCAACTTTCTACTCGTGTGATTACACAATTTCACTTGCTATGTTTTTAGTTCCTAACTTTTTTTTAATCATCTCTAGGATGCTGGCAGCTAATGAAGTTGAAATATTATATGCACCCTGTGAAGAAATATTTACTGTTTTGGGGTTTTTTTTTTTGTTATATCTGTTCTGTACAACTGTTATCCAATTGTTTGCTATTTTTTTACTCAAAATTTCAGGTGCTTCAACTAAAACGATGCAGCAGTACAAGTTCGAGACATAATATAGGACATGAGAGATTATTGAAGCCCTCAATGGCACAATATTCGATCTGTAATTTAAATGTTGGTTTCTTTTACCAAATAGCAATTTGTAATTTGTAGTTTTGTAGGGTTAAAGGGACTATTGTCTATTAGAATCCATACTTAGTTTTTATATTGTCCTAAATATTAATACACAACACCAGCTAAACCAATTTCAATTACCAAATCCATTTCAGCTGTTTACAATGTCAACAAAAATCTATAGCTATCAGAATTCAACTTACAACAGGTGCTTTAAATAACATCTTATTAGTAGGTATAAAAAAAACATCATGACAGGAATAAAAATCAAGTAAAAAATACAGTCAAATTTATATTAAAATGAATCAGCACACATTCTGTTTATCCAAAAAGAAAAAAAATTGAAAAGTAATACATAGAAAAAAGATTTGAGTTTTCAGAATTCTACTTTCATCATAGGAGTGCATTTAACAAAAAAAAATTCTCTTATAAGCAGATAAAAAAGTAAGATGACTGAAATAAAAATGAAGTAATTAAACACTGAAAATAAATTTATAGATAAATACATGCAAATTTAAGTAAAAAAGAAGCATTATATCTTTTTAGAACATATAGAAATACTAAACCCTATATAGGCAAGAATATTATAATAAACAACTGGAAAACTCATATGAAGAGGGAATAGGTACTTCTCTTTTTCGATCAGCACTGTTTTACACGATTTGTTCATAGAATGAACAGGTCTGCCTCCGGTGTAGACGATTCCTAGATCAGGATCTGTAATTTGTAACAAAATATCCTCATAAATTGCAAAAATTACCAGACACAGAATGCATGAAGGTGAGTTTGAACAGATGGATTGCTCTTCGACAGTGGATATTCCGTTGGAACCCCAACACGCCGGAAACAGCGTAGCTTTGGAATGATGTGTGGAGTATTGGGTCGAAGGCAGAGGGAATGAATCGTCGGCATATAATTTCTAGGGTTTGGTATCAGGTATTTATAGTTGGGCTATTGGGTACAGTCAAATTTATATTAAAATGAATCAGCACACATTCTGTTTATCCAAAAAAAAAAAAAATAATTGAAAAGTAATACTTAGAAAAAAAGATTTGAGTTTTCAGAATTCTACTTTCATCATAGGAGTGCATTTAACAAAAAAAAAGTATCTTATAAGCAGATAAAAAAGTAAGATGACTGAAATAAAAATGAAGTAATTAAACACTGAGAAATAAATTTGTAGATAAATACATGCAAATTTAAGTAAAAAAAGAAGCACTATATCTTTTTAGAACATATAGAAATACTAAACCCTATATAGGCAAGAATATTATAATAAACAACTGGAAAACTCATATGAAGAGGGAATAGGTACTTCTCTTTTTCGATCAGCACTGTTTTACACGATTTGTTCATAGAATGAACAGGTCTGCCTCCGGTGTAGACGATTCCCAGATCAGGATCTGGAATTTGTAACAAAATATCCTCATAAATTGCAAAAATTACCAGACACAGAATGCATGAAGGTGAGTTTGAACAGATGGATTGCTCTTCGACAGTGGATATTCCGTTGGAACCCCAACACGCCGGAAACAGCGTAGCTTTGGGATGGTGTGTAGAGAATTGGGTCGAAGGCGAAGGGAATGAATCGTCGGCATATAATGTCTAGGGTTTGGTATCAGGTATTTATAGTTGGGCTATTGGGTTCGGGTTTTGGGCTAGATAGGCGGATATGGACCAGGCCGATAATATATTTTGTGTTAGGCTCAGTAATGCAAGTTTCTCTTTAGTCCAATAGGCTATTGTTGATTTTATTTATATTTGTTGTACATATATATAAATATTATGGGGAAATCTCATTAATGTTGTATAAATACGTATATATAAATATAATTGTTAAAAGTATTGATTTTTTGGTGAAAATGGAGAGTCTGTCAGTACGAAAAAAAATGTCATATATATAATTAAAAAAAAAAAGGAAAATGGTCAAATAGACGTTCGAACTTTAGCTTAAAAGTCAATTAGGCCCCTAAATTTTTTAAAGGTGTAATTACACCACTCAACAATTCATTTAAGTGCAATGAAGCCCAAAAACAAATTAATGACCTGCTATCACAGGTTATTAGGGTTCAGGCCACCTTCTGGCGAATTTTCCGGCAAAAAAAAGTGACCAGCAACCGACCAAGATTTACTGAAAATTCCGCCGGTCACTTTTTTTTTTTGCCGGAAAATTCGTCGGAAGGTGGCCTGAACGCTATTGACCTGTGATAGCAGGTCATTAATTTGTTTTTGGGCTTCATTTCACTTAAATGAATTGTTGATTGGTGTAATTGCACCTTTAAAAAGTTTAGGGGCCTAATTGACTTTTAAGCTAAAGTTCGATGGCCTATTTGACCCTTTTCCCCAAAAAAAATTTCAACAATAAGTAATTTCTTAAACTATTTCTTATTTAATAATGTAATTTCTTAAACTATTTTTTATTTAATAATGTAATTTCTTAAACTATTTGTTATTTAATAATTTATAATTTCTTATGTTTGTTTATTATTACTATTATACGGTAATCTTGAATTATTAACAGGCAATATTTAATGACCGTGCATCGCACGGGACAATACTAGTTTCTTTAAACTATATTGCTTAATAGTCTGACAAAGACATTTAACTACTCTGAATTACAGCTATATTCCATTTTCCAATAGTACTTAGCTTACTTACGGAAGAAGAGCAAGCATGGTGTTCTAAAAGTACATAATTTTAAAAATAAATTTTGGGGGGAAACTATGTATAAATAGCACATATTGCATACATGTTGAAACCCACATTTGCATTGTAGCTACTCTATCTCATGATGATGAAACAAAGGTGATATTTTCCTTTCTATTATTTTAGACCATTCTCTATCCCATGAAGAACTGAATTACATTTGGTAATCATCTACATCATCTACACAGCCAACATTGACCTTTGCTTATATACAGAAAAGGGACAAGGAAACAAAAAACGAGTGATGCATTCTTCTTTGACAATTGAAGCTTGATGTCTAGCCACTTTATTCTTGGGTCTCAAACCCATCTTTATCACACCCGAAAAACCATTAGAGACTTTTAGAGCACACATATCAGCTATTTGAATCAAGAACAACATATCTGTTCCTGAAATCCCGGGTGTTGTGGTGGGGGAGCCGAAGAAAAGAAGGTTGGAGGAAGGGGAGGGCAGTGTGGCAGTAGGGGGTGAACGAATGGAATGTGAAACAAGTCTGTCAAAAAATGGGTTGGAGGCGGGTCTTGCGGCGCAGGCCCGCCGAGAGTCATGAGTCTCATATCGTGGAATTGTCGGGGGCTTGGAAACCTGACGGCAATTCGGGTGTTGGCGGACTTGGTTCGCACTAAGAGGCCGAGTGTGATTTTTCTTATTGAGACTTTTGTGGATAAGCATCGAATAGACGATATCCGGGTGCAGTTGGGTTTCGATTGTGCTTTCACGATTGATGCAGTGGGACATAGTGGTGGCTTGGCTTTGTTATGGTCTAATACTGTGGAGTTGAAAGTTGTTAGTTACTCCTTAAATTATGTGGACACGGAAGTGAGAATGGATGTGGGCAGTCCATGTTGGCGGTTCACAGGCTATTACGGGTACCCGGAGAGGCATCGTAGAAGGGAGGCATGGCAGTTATTGCGTTCCCTATCAGCACGGTCTACTTTACCATGGCTGGTTATGGGGGACTACAACGATTTATTGGACCAGTTTGAGAAGTTGGGACGGGCACCCCATCCAGGGTGGCTCATTAATGGGTTTAGGGAGGCGGTCGCGGATTGTGGCCTGCAGGATGTCCCGTTTGGTGGCCACCAATTCACCTGGGTGAAGTCACGTGGGACTAGCCGGATGATGGAGGAAAAGTTGGACCGGATTCTAGCAAGTGAGAGTTGGCTGGACTTGTTTGAGGGGGCACGGGCGCAGTCTCTGCCTACTTTGTATAGTGATCATCTACCTCTTGTCTTAACGCCCGTAGCTTTACCGCGGGTGCGGAAAAGGGCTAGATTCTGTTTTGATAACATGTGGTTGAGGGAAGAGGCCTGCAGGGAAATTGTCGCACATAGTTGGAACCGGACAGTGGGGCTGGATACATTGGATAGAGTGGAGGTATGTGCTCGTGATATTTCGTGATGCGGTCGCAGTTATAATAAAGATTTTTAGCGAAAGATTTAGCAGAATAAGCGCTGGTTGGAGGGGTTGTTGTCTCGCCGGGATGAGCCGGGTATGCGGGAGCATGCCTCAGTGGAAAAGGAGTTGTTGTTTTTACTTGAACAACAGCACATATACTGGAGACAACGAGCCAAAGAACATTGGTATCAAGGCGGTGATACGAATAGTAAGTTCTTTCACAACTCGGTGAAAGCGAGAAGGAGAAGGAATAGCATCAAGAGGCTCCGGGATGAGAATGGAGACTGGGTTCGGGAGGAAACAGGTTTGGATAATGTAATGTTGAATTATTTTAATAACCTGTTTGCGCCAAACTATGGGGATATGGAGGAGGTGGTGGAAGCTATCAGTGAAAGGGTTACTGAGCGTGATAACGCATGGCTGTTACGGCCGTTGAGTATGGAGGAGATGCGTGTGTCGATTTTTCAGATGCATCCGGATAAATCCCCAGGAACAGATGGTTTTGGACCAGGGTTCTTTCAGTATTTCTGGGACATTGTAGGAGGGGAAGTTACGGGATTTTGCAGGAATTTCTTGGGTACAGCCAGGTTACCATTTAAGGCAAATGATACCTTGATTGTTTTGATCCCTAAGAAGACTAATCCGGAGACAATGATGGACCTGCGACCAATTGCGTTGTGCAATGTCGTGTACAAGATTGCGGCAAAGGTATGTGCTTATCGATTGAAGTCTCTCTTGTAGAATCTAATATCACGTGCACAAAGTGTTTTTATTCCGGGGCGGTTGATCACGGACAATATCATGTTAGCCTTTGAAGTGCACCACCATTTGAAGCGAAAGACCCAGGGCTGTAACGGGCTAGTGGCTTTGAAGCTTGACATGTCAAAAGCCTATGACCGGGTAGAGTGGAAGTTTCTGGATGTGGTAATGCTTAAGATGGGGTTCAGTAGCCGGTGGGTTGAGATTATGCTGGAAACTGTCACATCGGTACACTATCATATTCTGCATGACCAGCGACAGGTGGGGCCGATTATCCCGGGTAGGGGTTTCCGGCAAGGGGACCCGATGTCTCCCTACTTGTTCTTGTTTGTTTTCGAGGGGTTGAGTGCCTTGATCGAGAGGAAGATGTCTGCGGGGCTCTTGCATGGGGTCAGTGTTGCGAGAGGGGCACCTACCATTTCTCATTTGCTGTTTGCCGATGATTGCTTCCTGTTTCATCGGGCAGACGTGGAAGAGAGTGTACAAATGAGGTATGTGTTGGATACTTATGTCATGGCTTCTGGTCAACATATTAATTATGAAAAGTCAGCAGCCTGTTTCAGTGCGAATGTGCCGCAGAATGTGCGAAATGAAGTTGTAGATATCCTAGGTGTGGAAGAAGGGGATACTAGTGAGAGGTACCTGGGTTTGCCATCGCTGGTTGGCAAAAGAAAGAGGGCCATTCTGGGCTTTCTGAAGGAACGGATTTTGGCACGAATTCTTTCATGGAATTCTAAGTATCTGTCTAGGGCGGGGCGGGAAGTGCTACTAAAGAATGTGATACAGGCGATGCCGGCTTATGCTATGATGGTTTACTTGTTACCACTTGGGCTTTGTCGTGACATTCAGAACATTATGAACCAGTATTGGTGGACAGGCAGTGTTGGGGATGGTTGTGGGATTAGATGGCGCACCTGGGAGGGCTTGTGTAAACCGAAGGCTGTGGGTGGGATGGGTTTTCGTCGTCTTCATGAGATGAATAAGGCTCTTCTCGGGAAGCAGGCCTGGAGGCTAATCACTAGGCCGACGAGCCTGGTGGCTCAGGTGTTTAAGGCACGGTACTACCCACATTGTGATTATTTTGGAGCTTCAGAAGGGAACAACCCGTCTTATATTTGGAGGGGTATGTATGAGGTTAAGAGTATCCTGATGACTGGGTGTAGGAAGGCGGTAGGAGATGGGAAGGACATTGTTATTGGCTCGGATCCGTGGTTGCCAGTTGATCAAAATCCGTATGTGGAAACTGACTTGCACCAGTCAGTGTATGAAGCACCGGTGTCCTCTCTTATGAATGTGCAAGGTACTGGTTGGGATGTGGGTTGTGTGAGTGATATCTTTAATTCACGTGATGCAGCTTACTATGGTACCTGCGGATAACCGTCCGTGGTCAAGAATTTGGGAGCTCCACATCCCTCCTAAGGTGAAGAATTTTAGTTGGCAGTTGACGTCATCTTTTTTGCCAACACGTGATAATCTGTTGTCTAAGAATGTTGCATGCTCTTTGAATTGTCACATGTGCAGGGGAGTTGAGGAGACTGGCATTCATTTTTTTGCTTTTTGCACTAGAGTAGCCAACCTGTGGAATAATATGGGAATGCTGCATGTCAGTGCCTTTGTAGGTAATCGTGTGAATGATTGTTTTTTTTTGGGTTTTGAATTCACTAAATGTTGATCAGTTGCCTGTCTTTATGATGGTAGTATGGGGTATCTGGTGCAGTAGAAATGAGGGTGGATGTTGATCTGAGCTCAGTGGTTCAAAGGGCTATGCTCTTTCTGGATAATTGGAGGAGCGCGAATGAGCCGGTTATTCATCAACTTGCTCAATCACGTGTGGAAGCATGGTCCAAGCCGCCGCATGGCAGGCTGAAGTTAAATACGGATGCCGCCCTGATGGAGGGTAGTAGAATGATGAGCTTTGGTTGGGTTTTGCGGGATGATTTTGGGAATTTTCTCGCTGCAAAGAACATGTTAGTGCCCGGGGTATATATGGTGAAAGAAGCTGAAATTTTGAGTATCCGGGACGCTCTGAGCTGGTTGAAGAATACAGGTATGGGTGCTGTGGATGTTGAAACGGACTGCCAAGTTGTTTATAATGCAATTAGAGCGCCTTCTTTTAATTTTGCTTTCGGGTTCTTAGTTGATGATGTTAGGAATTTAGCAATGGATATTGATGATGTTAAATTTGGTTATGCTAGGCGATCTGCGAATTGTGCCGCCCACTCTGTTGCTAGTGAGGCCTTTTCTGAGTCAGGTTGCGGGGAGTGGTTAGATACTCCTCCATCTTTTCTTGTAAACATTCTTGCTCGTGATTCAATGAATTAATCTTATTCTTTCAAAAAATATATATATATATATATATATATATATATATATATATATATATATATATATATATATATATATATATATGCGGACATACATATATGCACTTGATTTGATATTGTGACACCCAATAGGCTATAAAATAATTGATTTTGAATGCATATGTTGCATGGCATTCTTGTAGTAGTAGTTTTAGTTGATCTGAGCAGATAGAATGTTCCTTTCAGTGTGTTGGTTGAGTTTGTGGCTCATGTTTCTTGTCAGACTGCACCCTACTGGTTAAGTAACACGTGTTGGTTGAGTTTGTGGCTCATGTTTCTTGTCAGACTGCACCCTACTGGTTAAGAGCATCTACACTTGTGCATATTATGGGGAGATTTCAGTTTGCATTCTGATAATAGCTAATGTGGAGGGGAGATAATTGAAAAAGATTTGTCCTGCAAATGTTGGCATATTGTCAGAAAAAGAAGAAGAAAGAAAAAAAGAAACATCACGCGCACAGCAGCCCGCCCACACGGGCGCGTCAGGCGCGCCGTTCCTGACAGTTTTTTTTTTTTTTTTTTCCTCCCTTCCCCACATTCTCTCTCCTAATCACTCTTACATTATCCCCATATTCTTCTCAACTAATGTGGATGCTCTAAGCAACACCTAACTCATAAGGCATCGCCATTTTTTTAAATATTAAATTTGTGATGAGAAAAACTCGTAATTACTATTTGATAATTTATACTGAATAAATTTTATTTTGTAACTTTAACCGATAAACGATTATGAGAAGATAACTTAAATTGTTTATATAGTTAACCAGGTCAAACTAAAAAATCAATATATAATCCCATTAAAAAAAAAAAAACTTAAAATTTTATAATTACAAATCAATACCCTGTCAAACTTGAATGTGTGTTTTTTTTTTTTTTCTTCCAAAGATAATAGGAATACGAATCCGTCCAACATACACATCTGCACAATTATTCATAGAACAAAATTGCAACAGTTAGTCAAGTGTTTCAAAATTGCATTGCCACCTTCATACCAATTAGTTAAGTGGATGAAGTATAATTTTTATATTAAAAAGTCATGAGTTTGATTTTTACCTTTCTAATAATATTTATCTCTCTTTGTATGGTTTATGGTGCATTAATTTCTCTTGTTACTCAAAAATAAATAAATAGAGCTATCAAAACAGGTTTAATTCGTCGAGCTAGTCCATCCCCCGCCAAAAGGGCAAGGCGTAATCTAGCGAGCTTTTTAGCCCGGTCCCACCTAAGTGACCTAACCCACGGACTAGACGGGATGGGTTGACTGGCGGGGCGCGCTTTGACGGACTTGTCCCGGTGGCCCATTTTGAACGGTGGTGGCTGGGGTGGCAACGGCGGTGGTGGTGATGGTGTTGGCGGTGGTAGTGATGGTGGTGTGGTGTTGGTGTAAAAGTTAGAAAATGACTTCACAAAAAAGAGGAGAAGTCATTTTCCTCTAAAACAAACATATTTTTCAAAATCAACTAAAAATAATTTTTACTGACTTATTTTTTCAGGCACATTCAAACACTGAAAACCTGAAAAATGATTTCCAGATTTCCAAAACACACCCTTGAGTTAACCTTTTTTGGTATTCTGTTTAAAAATATTTTGGAAGTATAAAAAAAATAGGGATTTAGAATTATTTAGTAATTAGCGATGCTGTAACGTTACGGCAAATCGACGCTGTATTTATACGTAGGATTCGGTTGGAAAATGGACGTTTAAACGCATTATTATTTCCAGTTTTCCACCGCCCTGTTTGAAAAGGAAGTACACTAAATACGCCCCTCTGTCTCTCTCGGTTTCGTCGCCAATCAAGCAAGAATCGCCGTTGATTTCAGCTCCTGTAAGCTCTCCTTCTCTCACTCTCTCTTCGATACGCTGTCGTTTTAGCGTATTACCGCTAATCTCATACGATTTTTCATGCTTCTTTTCTCAAAAATTTCCAACTGAAGTTTCTTGAGTAGTAATTAAGCAAGTTTAATCACATATATGTTTTTCTTTTTGCTGCCTTGATTCTCAGTTTTTCCTTAAATTTTGTGTTCTTATATTCTCACAAGAATGAATGGAAGCTCCTGATCTTTTTCAATGGTTGTACTGATTTCAGTTCGTATAGGTATTTGGTCTGTCAGTTTTGCAGTTACAGTGATCTACTATTGCAGTTGAATTGGGGGAGAAGAGAGAGAAGCAGAAATGCATTTTGAGCTGGTGGATATACAACCTCGGGAAATCACATTCACATGTAAGCTTCCACTTTTTAGATCAGTTTTTTTTTTTTTTTTTTTTTTTTTTTTTTTTTTTGAGAATTTTGTGGAATGCTGCTACTAGATGAAATATGACATTTAGATCAGTGATTATGCTATGAATTATGAATTTATGATTGTGGTGGTGTTTGATAAAGATATGTAACGCTACTGTGTGCCCTGGTGCATGGTGCTCTATGGTGATTGGTTATGAGCTTTGCTATGGATAAATTATGATTCACTTTTGATTTTTTAGGAAAAAATGTATACTTTGATATTCCACTTTGATAACACATGGTACAAAAGAACACTGGACATGTTGCAAAAGTTTAGAAGCATGGGCACTTGTCAAAGAAGCCAGACATATTCTATGGCACCCCCTTTTTTCAGCTTTTTGTTGTCTAATTATTTTATTTAAAAAATTAGCTGGACATGCCTAGGACAAGAAATTGAGATTTAAACTCTTTTATTAGTCAATTACTCATTAAAGGACCAAAGCTAGGATTTTTTTTATTTGGGTTTTCTTGCTTATTCTTTGTTAGTACTTATTTTCAGATGAATTTAAGAACATAATATGTAAGATTCTGGCAAATTATTGTGTGGACCATGGTCCACATAGTTGTGTGGACCATGAATACAAAGTACATTTTTAATATACTAAAATTACATTATTTTTATACTGAATGTACATTATTTAATAGTATATAAAATAATGTACTTTTAGTATATTAAAAATATATTTTTTATTTATGGTCCACATAGTTGTATGGACCATGGTCCATGTAATAATGTTTGGTAGATTCTTCAACTGAATTTCTTTTGTATAACAACACCGACATCATCAATAATAAGTGCATACTCTATTTGAGCTTTCTTAAACCTGCTCAGGTTAATGGTTACTTGGTTTTTTCCATGGTGTGTATGCATATTTTTCCTAAATTTACAGGCACACATATTTTTGTTAAAGAGATAGCACCAAAGTATTTAGTTGGTGTATGAACCGATGCAAACTTACAAGTGTTTAGCCTAATGATAAGCTCAGATATTTGACCCGTTTAGAATCCCATCTCATCCCATTCCCTTACAAGTTACAAGTACCAAAAGAGGGGGGAAAAGACACATGACAACGTTTTTATATTTTATGAACATTCTTAGTAGCTTCTGCACTTGCTTATGTGCCTTTATTACTCTTTGATTTTACAACAAATGTGGAATCATGAACTTATAGCTGTTTAATTGGCTTTCTACAGTTGAACCGAGGAAGCAAAGCTCATGTACCATCCATTTATTCAATAAGACCGATAAACATGTTGCCTTTAAGGTAAATAGATTATTGCTAATCAACAAGTATTAGCTTACAATTTTCTGTTCTTGTTTTTTCATAACATCATCACTGATTATTTGCCAGGTCAAGACCACTAATCCAAAGAAATATTGTGTCCGACCAAACACAGGAGTTATTAGTTCAAAGTCATTATGCGAATTTAAGAGTAACTTCTTTGCACCTTCAACTTACTACCTTGTTGGTTGTGACACTTTATGTCTGGTAAACAAAGAATTGCAAATTCGGTTCATATTATATCTTGTTAGTTGTGATCCTTACAGGTCTTAGGGGCCCTTGTATTTGTGTGTGTTTTTATTTTAGGCACAGTCTCATTAAGTTATTTTTACAAAAGCATGCAAAGTGACTTAGCTGGTCAGAATACTGATCATCCGCCATCATGTACTGCTTAGTGAGTATGCAGTAACTAGAGCATGTAGATTTAACTTCTTCCAATTGTATTATTCTTGTTTATTTTTGAATTTTGATAATGGAGCTATAATAGATTTAGGCCTTCTGGTAATGTGCTTACATTGTACTGGGGTTTTGTAGTCTTACTTTCAGTAGCAGAATATAGTAGAGCAAAACCGATCCAGGATTAGATACATTGGCAATGAAAAGTAGTTAAGGAAAAATGTTATATTGTTTAGTTTTTGTTTTAATTTGGGCTTTGTATAAATTTGAAGATGTGCACATCCTTAATCTTGGCTAAATGTATTAATTTTTAACGAAGAGCTAACCAACTCAATTTTTTTATTTGGGCAAGTTGAGCCTTAACATAAAGTTCACTTCTCCTTTAGATGTCACATACAACGCTATTTGTGATAGCAATAAAACTACTACTTCAGGAAGCACCATTAAAAATGCATGGCTTGTTACTGGAGTAGTAGACTTGTAATAATCAATTTTTCCTTTTATCTTCTGGAATTGATGATCTGCAAACTAGTTTTACTGCTTAAATTTGATTAGATCTGCTTCTTCTAAACATTATATGTGCACACTAATGTTTACAATTTAAAATGGTGAGCACAACCATTGTGAAAATTCCTATTTCTAGTAAGAAATAATTGGCCACTCTGATTGTTATGAGTAAGTTATTTTCGTACTTAGTCCTGCACTAATGAATTTCAGAAATACTGTTTATCTAGTAACTATGCAAGCACAGCGGGAACCTCCTCCCGATATGGTATGCAAGGACAAGTTCTTAGTTCAGAGTAAAGTTGTTCCAGAGGAGACATCTGATAAAGATATTACCTCAGAGACAGTATGTATACCATAGTTATTATATCTCTTATATTTGTCGGCGTTCTTAGTTAAATACATAGTTTTGCTCTGAATTTTATGAGCAACTATTGGTTTTTTTATTCATGTTTCTCAATATTTACATATTTAGTTTTCTAAAGACGATGGCGAATATGTCCAAGAGAACAAGCTAAGGGTGATTCTTGTAGATCCACTTGACTCACCTGACCTATCACCAATAAATGGAGCACAGAGTCATCCACCAAATTTTGAATCTTCTCCACCAAAATGTTTAGAAGATCTTTCTGGTAATGAAGAAACCCAAATTCCACAACGAAAGGCAAGGAACTTTTCTATAGCTAGAATGTATTGGAATCAGATATCTATGATGGAATCCATTGTTAAATCTGTGACTTGAGAGCCTAATTATCTATCTGTTTTCTCAGTCGTGCTGCTTGAAACCTTCCATTTTTTTTTTCAGCCAGCTGAGGAGGAGTTTAAACAGGAAAATAAAGAGGAGCCAGTGAAAGCAAAAGATGTAGAGATTGAAACTGCAAAGGATGTAGAAAAGGTGGAATTTGTTGATGAGATCAATACAATGAAGTCAAAGTTGGAGCCAATGAAAGCAAAAGATGTAGAGATTGAAACTGCAAAGGATGTGGAAAATGTGGAATTTGTTGATGAGATCAATACAATGAAGTCAAAGTTGAATGCACTAGAGCTTAAACTAAGCGAGGTAAGAATCCTTCTTGCCTTGTGGTTCCCAATGCCAAAAGAAACGTTAATTCCTTTCTATGTGTTGTATTGGGTGGGATCTTATAGAATTTCTTTGAATCGGCAAGTTCTTCCTGTAGAGTAGGCCTTACACCTCCTGATATGATTATATTTTGGAAAAGTGGGTGCATTTGTCACTTACCCACTTTAACATGTTACTCACTCTTGTTATGTATTAAGGGATTCTAGTTTTAAAATGTAGGCTGAAGCAACCATTTCAAGGCTGACACAGGAGACGAGGGGGTCTGCTCAAGAGAAAGAAAGCTTACAACGAGAACTGGTAATCCTATAAAATCCAATCTCTGATGCTTTATAGTCCTCAACTTTTTTTTTTTTTTTTTTTTTTTTTTTTTTTTTTTTGTCTTTCTCCGTCTGGACCCACCCGAGTAATCCTCGTTCTTGCAACATGTTTTTGACCATTTTCTGGGATGGGATTTGCAGGCGCGATTGAGAAGTAGGAAAGGCGCGAGAAAAGTGCAAGTTGGATTTCCATTGCTGTATGTGGTTATGGTTGCTCTCATAAGTCTTGCACTTGGATACATGTTTCACCGCCAGTAGAAGTAGTTCCCATATGTAGCTGGAGTAGCAGCAGCAGAGAAGTTATAAATAAATATTTTTACATGGAATGACTGTAGTCTGTATATTAATATTAATGAGTGTAAATACTCTACTAAGTACCTTAGCACACTGTATTGCTTAGGGGAAATTATTATTAGGTACATCATAGCATACATAAGTGTACTATGCTAATAATGTTCCGATGTTCTGTTGGAAATCCGACATTTTGTCATACAATAATAATAAAAAAAAAAAGAGTAGTATTTTATATAGAGCATTACTTTTTTTTTTTTTTTTGGTAAACCTCGACGTCTCCTATTTTCTAAGTAACCAGGTTTTCTGACTTTATCAAACTATAGTTCTGATTGATAAAAATATTTAGTTTATCAGTCAATTTTGATTTATTTGACTACTATTAGTTGTCTGACTTAGTTAAAAAAATCAATATAAGTATTTGATTAATTAATTTTTTATAACTCAAAAATGTTAAAATTCAAAAGTATTCGATTAGTCAATTTTTTATAACTCAAAAATGTTAAAACTCAAATAGCTATTGATGGGGTTAATTCTCCGGGCTTTGCACCCACATGTAGGTCGGTTATGTACCCCCAAAACGAGGCGAGTCTGAACCGACCACCGAGGGTCTATTCAGTAGGCCTTCCCGACCTACACTGCCCACCGAGCTTCACCAGAGAGATTTGGGAAGGACTTCGAGACCTCGACCAAAACCGACCTATCTAGGTCAGACCGACCATCAAGCACCTTATAGCAAAGCGAAGTGCTCAAAAGAATCTTGACACACGATCAGGGCCCATGGGCCGCGACCGGGGCCCATGCATGGAGTCCACTTGCTCAACATGTCATTGGCCCATAAATTATCCCCTAGCGACCGCTATAAATACCACATTAATTATTGTCAGAATGGACTTTTCTGGCTATTTCTACGCTATAGCTTTTAGCTCAAAGACCCCACTATCACATAAACTGGACTATATCCCTTAAACCAACAAACAGACCAAGTTCAGGAACCGAACCCGAAAATGACCTGGGATTGTAGTCTGCATACGATACGCTCCGTATTTACTACATCAGCTACCCAAATCAACTTTTTCAATTAGTTTAAAAAAAAAACAAATTATACAAAACAGCTATCAATTAACAACTAATTTATCAAACATTTTTCTACAATCAGCTAATATTATCAACTAATCATAATCATACCCTCTAACAGCTATCAACTAACCGCCATTTAACAAACAAGGCTTATATCCCCTTTCCTTTCAAGTGACCAAGTTTTCTGACTTGGTCAGACTGTATTACTCCATGCATCGTAGGCCCAGCCAAATCACAATTTTGTTCCCGACCAACCAACCAACCTCCAACAACATTGGCAATGACAACCATCCACCACTCAAAAATTGGCCAAAGGTGTCCCACAACCTTAACAATTTTGACAAGCTCAAAAATTGTTAATCCGCAGGCACAACACCATATACAAACAAATTACTCCTCCCCTCAACAAAACTCAATCTCGCCCCGAGTCTCATTTTCTTCTGGAAAATTACCCAAAGTATCGTTTGGATCGTCAAATATTTCCCTATCTGGGAGCAAAAATCCATCCTCTTTAGGTTTATAGTGTTTTCCCCTCCATATCACAATCTGCTCCTTCTCAAATGTTACCAGGATACAAGGAACCAGTTCCTGCATTCAATCACACAATTCTATCGAATTTTAGAAACATGAATTTCCATTTTATTTACAAGTGTAAATATGCATTATCGTCTATGTCAATATGTTAGCCACCCAATTCACGTCAATCCTAAATAAATATATTCATAGTAACAAGAAATTCCATCCAATATAGACCGACAAATTAATCTAGAGTCTTACCCTCAGTTTGCAGCCGATTTTCTTGTAATCGCTCCTTGGAAGTCCGATCCTTTACAATCTATCCTAACCAACTCCTCTGTCAGAAAAGCATGGGTACAAGACTAGCATAATAGCCATTCTTAGCTGCATTACGCCCTACATGTTAGATACAAACTCAATAGCCTCTCTCGAGAATGAAAAGATAAAACTTACCTAATCTAGTTTTGTCAATGCGGGAACGTACAGCTAATCCTCTTTTTCTCATTTCCTTGGTTTCCTCGATGCTCAAGCCGTCAATAGTAGTTTTTATAAGCCTTGGATAAACGGGTTCATGAGGTTTCCATAACATTAATGGAATCACCGGCCTCTTCTTCCCATCATAATTCCTCCCTCTGTATAGTACAATCGAACCACCATGTCTCTGGATGATCTTACCAAACGTCTTATCCTGGTTCACTAACAGTAAATGTAGGAATCAGTGAGCTAAGCTAAAGTTTGAATGATGAGAGCTCATGAGGAGAAGGAAACGAAGAGAGGAAAAGAGAAGTTGTATTCGTGTGTCATTGAAAGAAGCAGAATGCATATTACATATAGACCAGGGAACAGAAGCAGTTATAACTGCCAAGGAAAGGAAAATACCAAAATACCCTTCTACACTAATTTTAATCCTTCATCACCCCCCCGTAAGCTGGGGCATGGATGTCTCGAAGGCCCAGCTTAAGTTGGAACAAGTTGAAAGCAGGAGTAGGCAAAGTCTTGGTGAATCCATCAGCCACCTGTTTATGAGAAGGAATAGGCAACAATTTTATCAATCATTCATTGACTTTTTGCTTGACAATGTGACAATCTATCTCTATGTGCTTTGTTCTTTCATGAAAAACATGATTCTCTCCAATGGCAATAGCTGAGTGATTGTCACAGAACAGGACAGTTGGAACACTGAAGTTTACTTTCAAATCAGCTAGCAGGTAATGGAGCCATTGAATCTCACAAACAGTTGATGCCAATGCTCTATATTCAGCCTCTGAAGAAGACTTTGAGATTGTGGCCTGTTTCTTAGTCTTCCAAGAGATCAAGTTGGTACCAAGGAAGATACAATAGCCAGTGATTGATTTTCTGGAATCTGGACAATTGGCCCAATCAGAATCTGAGAAACCTTGCAGCTTAAAGTAGGAATCTTTGTGATAGAATATGCTTTTTCCTGGTGAATGTTTGAGGTATCTTAATACCCTATGAGCTGCAGTAAGGTGAATGCTAGATGGTTTGTCAACATATTGACTGAGCTGCTGCACAGCATGTGATATATCTGGCCTTGTGTTGGTTAGATATAGCAATTTGCCAACTAACCTTCTGTAAACTTCAGGCTTGTCAAGGGGAGTACCTTCTGATTGTGTTAGTCTGATTCCTGCAGTAGCTGGACTCTTTGCAGGCTTAGAATTGAGAAAGCCATTCTCTTTAAGGATGTCAAGAGTGTACTTCATTTGGAACAAGCTGACCCCTTCATCACTCCTAAAAGTCTCAATCCCCAAAAAATAGTTCAGAGACCCAAGGTCTTTAATCTTGAAGGCAGTGTCAAGAAATTGTTTTAAAGCTGCAATTTGTGATGAATCATTCCCAGTGACTATAATATCATCCACATAGATGAGCAAAGCAGTGAAGGAACCTCCTGAAGTTCTAGTGAGTAAAGATGGATCTGCTGCTGACTGTTGATAACCATTATCCATCAAAGCCTTAGTTAATTTTGAGTTCCATTGTCTGCTAGCCTGTTTTAGGCCATAGAGAGACCTAAGTAGCTTGCAGACCTGGTTTGGTTTGTCACTGTGGAACCCAGGAGGCAACACCATATAAACTTCCTCCTTTAGATCCCCATGTAAAAAGGCATTGTTTATGTCTAATTGTTGGATGTCCCATCCCCTTGCAATGGCTACAGCTAGGAATGACCTTATGGTAGTCATCCTTGCAACAGGTGAAAAGGTCTCAGTGTAGTCAACTCCCATTTGTTGTGTATAGCCCTTGGCTACCAGCCCAGCTTTGTACCTTTCCACTGAGCCATCAGCCTTGTGTTTCACTTTAAATACCCACTTACAACCAATTGGTATTTTTCCTTCAGGCAGGTCTGTGAGAATCCAGGTGTTATTGGCAACCAAGGCTTCTATTTCAGTTAGCATTGCCTTTCTCCATATCTCAGACTTAGCAGCTTCATTATAAGTGTGTGGTTCATGTGTGTTTAGGATAGAGGATGCACAAATTTTGTGATGCAGTGGTAGGGACTCATAGGATATGACATTGTCTAAGGAATGTGGAGAAGTGTTGCTAGTCTGAACTATAGACTGACAGTAGTAATCTTGAAGTTTTGTGGGAATGGTTCTCACCCTTTCAGACCTCCTGAGTTCCTGCTGGTTAGGATATGCCACTGCAATCTCTTCATTGGTAGTAGCAGATGAATCTACATGGACAGATGGGGGACCTTCTTCAGATGTTGAAGTAGTTCTCATGGAATCTGTATGGGCTCTGGATTCAGAACCATATTCATTGGCATTATGGATACCATGCTGCTCAGTATCCATGGAGTGAAAAGTATCATCATGGCTATGAGCCATTCTATGTTCTTCTGGAGGCACATCTGCATCAATGGAGATTACAGGCAAAGCAGGATTATTCTCATGACTGTGGGAGTTTTCTGAAGTGCATTGTTTAAGAGGGTAGATCTCTTCATAAAAAATAACATCCCTGGAAACAAAAATAGATTCATCAGTGACATCAAACAACAGATATCCTTTTACATTTGCTGGAAAGCCCAGAAAAATGCACTTCCTTGCTCTAGGCATCATCTTATTTCTTCCCTTAGGAGTAGTAGCAGCAAAACAAAGGCATCCAAAAACCCTTAATTGATTATAGTCCACAGCTTTCTTGTAGAGAAGTTCAAAGGGTGACTTTCCTTTGTTCACTTGTGTGGGAAGCCTGTTGATAAGGTAAGATGCATGTAAAACACAGTGACTCCACAATTGTAATGGAACCCCAGATTGAAATCTAAGAGCCCTTGCAACATTCAATATATGCTGGTGCTTTCTCTCAGCAATACCATTTTGCTGAGATGTATAAACACAAGACTTTTGATGGACAATCCCTTTGTCATTAAAAAAGGATGTCATGAAGAACTCAGTTCCATTATCAGACCTCACTGCCTTAATCTTAGCTGAGAATTGAGTGTCAACAAACTGGTAGAAGTTCTGAAATAGCTGCTTAACTTCAGTTTTATTTCTCATTAAATGTATCCAAGTGAATCTGCTATAATCATCAACAATTGTGAGAAAGTAATGTTCTCTTTTAAGTGAGGCAATAGCAAAAGGACCCCACACATCTAAATGCACCAAATCAAAGCATTTTGCAGCTCTTGTATTGCTAATAGGAAATGCTAATCTCTTTTGTTTAGCAAAATGACATGAGTCACATACAAAACCAACAGGCTTATGAAATTGAACCTGCTTTATTCCATTTAGACTATGAATTTTGTCTATAGGGTAATGCCCTAGTCTGTTATGCCACATTTGCAAAGATAAGCTATTACAGTGTTTATCAAAATCAACACACTGACTTCTCTTAGCAGGAGGATGACTTAGAAGATAGAGTCCATCCTTTGCCCTAGCAAAACCATCCATCATCCCATGTAGCCCCTGAATATTACACAAATCAGCATTCATAACAAGAGTACAGCTATTTTGTTTTGTCAGCTTGCTAGCAGATATTATGTTGAAAGCAAAGGAGGGTATGCATAAGACATTTTTCAACAAAAGATTGGGGAACAATCTTATTTCTCCTATGTGAGTCACCTGCACAGAATCTCCATTTGGCATTCTAACAAAAATGCCAGAAACTTTATGATGATTATCAATATAATCCAAAGAGCAAGTGATGTGATCAGTTGCCCCTGAATCCAATATCCACATTTTTGCACAACTTAAGACAGCATTTATATGGAATTTAGGAATGAACCTACCTTCTTTTGTACCAGCAGATGAATTGGTGAACTCTTGCCTCATTCCAGTCTTACTCATGGTTATTGCAGCATTGGTAGAAGCTTGGTTAACTTGGCTTCCCTGGTTCTGATTTTGCAAGAGAGAAACCAGCTTCTGAAACTGGTCAGCAGATAACCCCACATCTGCAACCTGATTCACAGTAGGACTAAAACTATGCTGGCTGTCCTGATTGCTTTGGTTCTGCTTATATTTAGTTTTATAACCAGGTATCCAACCAGGTGGATATCCATGCTTCTTAAAACATTTATCTATAGTGTGGCCATTCATTCCACAATATGTGCACTTAGCCACATTTTTCCCTCCATAGCCATTAAACTTCTTCTTATTGTTTGAGCTGGTCATTGCCACAACATTCTGATCCTCCCCAGTTTGGTTTTGAACAGCATTAGATTGCACAATTTCAGAGGCCTTATAGCTACTAAAACCATTGAGCTTTCTCTCCAGTTTCAAGGTCATATTGAGAGCTTTTTCCATACTAGGTAGGGGATCCATAACCAGTGCACCAGATTTTATTGTTTCATACTCATCATTTAAGCCATCTAGAAACCTAATCACTTGATCATCCTCCCTATCTTTTATAACTTTGCTCAAAAGTGTGCAATTGCATCTAGGTGTACATTCACAGACAGGCAGTGGTCTAACAGCTTTCAATTGTTCCCAAAGAGCATTACACCTAGTGAAATACTCATTAATTGATAGATTACCTTGCACACTTCTGTAGATCTCATTCTGAATCTCAGCAATCTTGTGTGGATCTGCCTGAGAGTATCTTTTTCTCAAGGCACTCCAGATCTCTTCTGCTACCTCAAAATACAACACGCTCTCAGCAATGGATGGACTGAGCGAACGTAAGATCCAGGCGCAAACGATATCATTGCACCTCTTCCAAGTCCCATATCTAGCATTTGACTGAGCTGGACAGGGAATCGTTCCAGTGACAAAGGCAAATTTGTTCTTCACGCCAAGTGCAATCTTCATGGACCTACTCCAGGCTGCATAATTACTCTCAGTGAGAGGAGGAGAGACAAGTATGGTGTTTGGATTCTCTGTTGCGTGAAGATACAAAGGATCGTCCAGTTCATCTACTCTGTGAATTGGACTCTGATTAGCTTGGATCTGACTGATCGGAGTTGCTGCTCCTGCTGTACTTCCAGCAGGATTTCCTCCGGCGACATTTCGATCCATGGTTACTGCGGCTGCGTAGCTGAATGGAAGCTCTGATACCATGTAGGAATCAGTGAGCTAAGCTAAAGTTCGAATGATGAGAGCTCATGAGGAGAAGGAAACGAAGAGAGGAAAAGAGAAGTTGTATTCGTGTGTCATTGAAAGAAGCAGAATGCATATTACATATAGACCAGGGAACAGAAGCAGTTATAACTGCCAAGGAAAGGAAAATACCAAAATACCCTTCTACACTAATTTTAATCCTTCATCAGTAAACACCAAAAAAACACGACAAAACCTTCTTACAAGCATTTTGCAGTTGACCATGAAAAACGAATAAATAAAGCTAAGGCTGCCATTTTCAAGTATCTTACTGATGAATACTGGCAATGGCGAAGAAGCTAAGTTTAGACGATACCTCTAATTGAGAGCACACATTCTTCATATTAACAGTGGGCACTCCCATACACTTTATTCTCACAGCCTCGGTGTGTTTCCAGTGATATGATTATGAATATCGTTCAACATGTTGTGTGTTAATCCATCTCTACCTACAAACGGAACGGGAAGTGGCGACCGGAAGACGACAGTGGGAGGAGGAGGAGAAAGAGCTTTTTCTTGCCGCCGACAAAGATCATTTGTTTCTTATATGAATGAATGAATGATTCTTGTTTTGCTTAGACGCCCATAATATGAACTACGATTAGCATTTCAAAATACCTACCTATAACCTATTCCTATTCTTATTACATAATGTTTGGATTAAAAATTTAAAATAGCGAAATCTCTCAGCTCAACCACACTCCACCCAATGCCAAATTGTTATATTGTAGATTTGTAACTTGTAAGACACCAATTATACCATAGATTCAGGACTACTTTACAACATGAACTCGAGTTCAAAATACACAATTAAATTAAAAGTAATACTACATGTATTTTCACATTCTACTCCATTTTCTACTCCATGCTTACATGTCACTTTTTGATTCATTCAATATAATGTGGGCCACATTTTTTATTACTTTCTTTTCATCCTCCTCCAATCAAATCAAGACACATGACGGGAGTTTTACTCCCTTGAAGTACATATATATCATCAAAGTTCGTGCACACATTAACATATTTACATGCACATTGGACACACTACCAACAATATCTGAGATTAGCTCGTGCACACATTAACATACTTACATGCACACAGTTTGTATTTTAAAGAGGTTTCTATTTAAAAATAATCATATATATATATATATATATATATATATATATATATATATATATATATATATATATATATATATATATATATATATATATATATATATATTCCTCAACTTAATTTCTAAAGTGGTCTTGGCCTTTTCTTAAATTAGTTCTTTAAATTTTAATTTCTCCAAAGTGATCAAGTTAGTGTTAAAATGAAGGGTAAATTTGAAATTTAAGCTTTGCATTCCAATTTAAAGCAATCTGTAATTCCTTTCAGCAGTCTGCGCACATATTTCTTTAAATTAAGTTTTTACTTTCTTTAATCTGCAATCAAAATGTGGATAATCAACTAGAAGGCCAAAAAAGTTCATTTTCAACTTCATCTACAAACTTCCCAAGGTAAAAATTTCTCACATTCTAGTTGATTATCTCACATTTTGATTGCAATTTAGGAGAGAAAAGAAATATGTGCACAAATTGCTAAAAGGAATAACATATTATTTTAAATTGGAGTTCAAAGCCTAAATTTTCATTTTAACGCCAAAACTAACAGATAACCATTTCGACTTAAAATTCAAAAGTCATAAGATCATTTGGAAAAATTAAAAGTCAAGGGACCATTTAAAAAAAAAATCATAGTCAAATGACCATTTTAAGAATTAATTCTACAGAATTTACATACTGAATATTCACAATTTACATGCTAAATATTCACAACTTGAATTGTAAACATTTATTTATTATATAAATTGCATACATAAATTGTGAACATTATATAAAATTATGAACATTCAGTAAGTAAATTATATATTATTTTGATTTGGATCCTTATAAGGAAAACTCGAATCCAGTGTTGCAAAAATCGCGCCTAGGCACTAGGCGCTAGGAGGCAGCCGCAAGGAATGGCCTCGGCAGCCTCCTCCGCGGACTTTTGACTCGGTTGTCCGATTTGGGCAATTTTTTTTTCAATCCGCGTATTTTTTCGAGATCTATACACAACAAACCCACTAAGATTCTTTCTCCTCAGTGTTGTGAGTTGTGCAAACACTAGACAGCAAAGTAAAATCTTCTTCTATTAATTAATAGCACTGGCCTTTTGCAAATTGCAACAGATATAGATTTGGATTGTTTGGTACAAGAAGAATGATGTAGAGTATAGTCTTCCAACGACAAGCAATGGGTTCTTTCTTTTTATAGATTGAAGCGAACTAAGGGAGGAAATTTGTTTGGAAGTCTGGAAAGTGGCACGGTTGCAAAAGTCTGGTGAATTGAGCTTGAACATCAAGCAAGAATCCTTCTAGTTCTAGACAAACACATGCTGTTGAAAGTAAGTTTAATTGAAATTTGGATGGGTATTGGATTGAGTTCTTCCATGGTATTGGCTTCCTTGATGTTTCCTTTATTAATCTCCATTTTATGTAGCTCAAAACCACTAGTTCCCTCTATCATTTTATTCTTTAATGAAACAGAGAAACCTGACTATTTTGGTGTAGTAAATAATAATGGCAGGAGATTTCCATGGACACCTTCTTCAACAATACAGATGACTATCACCATTACATTTACCAAAACCCAACCTACAATATAACAATAAGATTAGGTACCAAAAGAGAGAGAGAGAGAGAGAACCTGAAGTGAGCACCAGGCCAGATTAAGGATGCTGACGAGCCAGAGAAATCCGTAGAGTGCGGCTATGATATGCGATCGTCCATTCAAAATCTTCGGATAGTTCTTCTTCGCTTGAGAAGCCAAGTATATGAGGAAGAGGGTAGACAGCAGTATGATGAGCAGGTTATGCCACAGCCCGTGGCAATCCATTAGCCATGAAACCACTTTCCTCCGCTGCCGCTGCCGCTGCCGTCTCCGGCAGCATCAGGGGTGGAGGAAGACGGCGGAAGCGCCGCCTCAATTGCTTCCAGCAGTCTCATAGCTCTTGGATTCGTGAGACAGAAAAGAGGATGACGTAGGTATTGAGAATTCCCGGATTCGGGAGAAAACAAGAGTTGACTGGGATATTTACGATTTTAACCTCACCGTTTTGTGAAAATGTCACTTTTGCCCCTATCCATCTTTCATTCATTTGCGCTGTGCGTGAAAGCTTTTGGCATACCGGAGTTACCACTTCCGGCCTACCCGGAGATTCTCTCCGGCATTCCAACGCCATTTCCGATCCGCGTTTAAGCTCTCTCCAGTTCACAGCATACTCTTCGATCACTGTGCTTAACAAAGGACTTGATTCTCTCGTCATTTTAATCTATCTTTGAAAAACTTAGGAATCTAGTCTAGTATAATAATCATTTTCACCCAGACGCCTTCTTCTCTCCCATCTTCTTGGCCCTCACTGCTTTGTTTTTTCTTCTGGGTCCGTATCGCCGATCACTTCTTATCTATCCAGGTTCGATTTATTCCCCTAATTTTTCATTTATATATTTATTCTATTCTATTTATTAGCTCTATGGATTATAAATCTATAACTCTCGCATCTCACTCTCTCCTTCTTGGTTTCTTCCCAATCTGCCGTTCGTTGCCTGCAGAGTATAGGCGACTGCGAACCAGAGGTTGCCGCCGCCTTCCGCATTGAACCAACGACTGTTTGCTCCACAGACCGTCGCTTTCGTCCACCGTGAACCAGCGACCGGAGCTCCACAGACCGCCGCGCAGCTGCCCCTCTTCGAATCTGCCATTTATTTTTGCTGAGAGGATAGTGTTAACTGAAGGCCGAAGTGAAGTGGAGGAAGTTAAGGTACAAGTGTTAATGGATTTGAACCTAGGTTTCACAATAGTCAAAATCAGATGCATATTTTGACTCTTGATTCGTCAAGTAAGTTTAGAATAAATTGATTTGAATCAGTTGGTGACAATTTTCATCCTTAATATGTTGGAATTGATTGAGATGAAATGAATTCGGCAAAAGGATTGCCTGGAAACTTAATTGAGATTAACTGAACCTTTTTCTTTGTCTTTTGTATTTGATTGTCCATTTACTCTTCACTGGAAATATGTGAAGTATCTTGTATGTATATATATATATATATATTTTTATACTCTTCTATATATGCCAATCTTCCATATATACATATATATATATATATATATATATATATATATATATATATATATATATATATATATATATATATATATATATTTGTATGTTTATATTTCTGTTTAAGAACAAAAAAGAAAAAGTAGGGGGTGGTGTGGCGGGGCCTGCCTAGCCCGTAGGCCAGGGGCGGGCTGGCCTGGGCCAACAAAACCTAGGCCCACCAAAGAGCGCGCTTTTTGGCCCGCCCCGCCAGCCCGTATTGACAAGCTCTATTCATCAGCGACAATGTCGCACCCATCGTCCCAGATGACCAAACTACAGTTATCACTCGTCAGCAGGTACTAGTGTCGTAATACTCATGCCTCCGTCGCGTTCCAGTCGCACTCATGGCAGTGGTTTAATGATTTTTTACTACAATACTTCATATTTGGTCATTCTTGCAACCCCAATCATTTCTTGCCAGTGTTGCAAAAATCGCGCCTAAGCGCCGATTATTCGACGCCTAGGCTCTAGGCACCGATTAATCGGCGCCTAGGCGCTGGGCGCTAGGAGGCCGCCGCGTGGAATGGCCTCGGCGGCCGGCCGGTTCGGCGGTTCGGCGAATTTTTTTATTTTATTTTTATTTTTTGAAAATGTCGGAAAAGTTTCGGAAGACATAACTTTTGACTCCGTTGTCCGATTTGGGCAATTTTTTTTTTTTCAATCCACGTATTTTTTCGAGATCTATACACAACAAACCCACTAAGATTCTTTCTCCTCAGTGTTGTGAGTTATGCAAACACTAGACAGCAAAGTAAAATCTTCTTCTATTAATTAATAGCACTGGCCTTTTGCAAATTGCAACAGATATAGATTTGGATTGTTTGGTACAAGAAGAATGCTGTAGAGTATAGTCTTCCAACGACAAGCAATGGGTTCTTTCTTTTTATATATTGAAGCGAATTAAGGGAGGAAATTTGTTTGGAAGTCTGGAAAGTGGCACGGTTGCAAAAGTCTGGTGAATTGAGCTTGAACATCAAGCAAGAATCCTTCTAGTTCTAGACAATCACATGCTGTTGAAAGTAAGTTTAATTGAAATTTGGATGGGTATTGGATTGAGTTCTTACATGGTATTGGCTTCCTTGATGTTTCCTCTATTAATCTCCATTTTATGTAGCTCAAAACCACTAGTTCCCTCTATCATTTTATTCTTTAATGAAACAGAGAAAACTGACTGTTTTGGTATAGCAAATAATAATGGCAGGAGATTTCCATGGACACCTTCTTCAACAATACAGATGACTATCACCATTACATTTACCAAAACCCAACCTACAATTTAACAGTAAGATTAGGTACCAAGAGAGAGAGAGAGAGAGAGAGAGAGAGAGAGAGAGAGAGAGATAGAGAGAACCTGAAGTGAGCACCAGGCCAGATTAAGGATGCTGACGAGCTAGAGAAATTCGTAGAGTGCGGTTATGATATGCGATCGTCCATTCAAAAACTTCGGATAGTTCTTCTTCGCTTGAGAAGCCAAGTATATGAGGAAGACAGCAGACGACAGTATGAGCAGCAGGTTATGCCACAGCCCATGGCAATCCATTAGCCATCCGTGAAACCACTTTCCTCCGCTGCCACTGCCGTCTCCGGCTGTAACACCCCGAGATTTTTCAACTTTTAAGACTTATATAATAAAGGTAAATTCTCATTAAATCCCAAAACATAACATAAAGAGTACGGGGTGCTGTGCCACACCTGAGCTAGAGAACTCAGGTGCACAGGCTTAACTAACTAATGTCCTCAATCATGTAAATGCATAAGCATGGCACACAGGCCGAAAGGGAAACTATCTACTTCGACGCTCCAAGACTCTAGCGCGCTCCAGTGTCTACTCCTCTGTGCCTGAAAGCCAAATATATCTGTTCAGCGAGAGATGCTGGTAACCCACTCCAACGCGTTGAAATACAGTACATATAGATATATACATAGATATAAGAAAAAACCATTTCGAAGCATGAAGATATATCCTAGGAGACTCTAGCTTTATAAAACAGGGCATAGACTCGACAGATAGGGATAAGCACAGCCAACAGTCATACAATTCACAAGCATAGGGAACAGACTCGACAGATAGAGATAAGCACAACCAATAGTCATAACCAAGCATATACAGTTTACTAGCATGTATCCTATGGTCACGCTTTCATAATATTCATAACATCAAGCCATCCATATCTCATCACATAGCACACTTTGATGGCGCCACAGGACCAATCGCATGCCCATACATGAGGGTCAGCGCATATAGCTCTGACATGGCCCCGCAGCACCCTGCCCGTATCGCAACACGGAGGGGTCGATCGCAACCGACCGATGAACCACAGCTCATCATAATGTTTGATCGCAACCAAACAGTGGACCGCAGCCCAAGAGTAGTCATCTGACCGCAGCCAGGAATATGAACCGCAGCTCATGTAAAACGTTTGATCGCAACCAAACGGTGGACCGCAGCCCGAGAGTGTAAATCTGACCGCAGCCAGCTTCTGAACTGCAGATCAGGAATAACCAATTTGATCGCAACCAAATTGGGGTTTCATGCACACATAACACATAGCAAACACATGCAACCCACATTGACACATTGGGAAGGGGGAGAAATCGTATAACGAAACCTATTCGTGATCATCCACATACTAAGAATACTCTTAAGGGGTTCATACTTCTTACACCTAGGCCAACGGGATACCAATCCAACTAGCATGCAATATATATATAAGACTTATTCAACCTACGAATGGTACCCGAACATCAAACTAGACATAGGCACGATGGACGGGGCCCGTTGGGACACCACGGGGGTCGGGGGAACATCAAACGGGGAAGCTGGAATCCCGAGGCGGGGGAATTTCCAGCGGGCAGCCTGTGGGTGAAGGGTCACCCGCCGGCTGCCCGCTGCCGGCGACGTTAAACCTGGCCGCGGGTAGGTGGCGGGTCCCCTACCCCCACCTAACCCCACTGACTCTTTTTCACAAATAACGTCTCAAGAACCTTTGTGGAACCTGAAACCATGCTTAGACACCTTTAAAAGCAATTGATGACAACACGTAGACAATTAACGGATCAAAAGCGAGAAACATGCGGCACCTATCCTACCATGCTTTCTAAACATAATTAACACCCAAACATGCGAATTCCCACCCAATACATTAAGAATAACACCATACGAGTTTCACGTTACACCCTAGGGCTCTAATCACAATTAAATCATCAAGAACGTAACCCATCTTTTAATATCAAGAAATATCAAGATTCATCAAGAACATTACACAATCATCAAGAAACCCTTATCATCATCAAGATTATCAAGATAAAACCATATCACCAATTATCAAGATCACATCATCAATATCATAACAATTCATCAAGACACAAGAATATAGGAGGATGCCTAAGAGAGAGAGATTATAGCTAAGAAAATAGGTTTTGTTGAGACATGGGTTACCTCTTAGCCTTAATTAATTTCCTTGGTTATGAAGGGTCTTTCTCTAAGTCTTCCTTCTTTCTTGATTTCTCCTAGGGGAATTCTTGGAGCTCCTTGTGTGGGGAGAGATTATTGTGGTGTGGGTTTTAGGTGCCTTCTATGTCCCCTACTTATAGATATAAGAGTCCTAATTAGGGCCCAAATACTATAGGCTTGCTAACTCTATTCCTTTTAGGACTAGGGGTTGGGTTTTTAGAGGTGAGGCCCACGGACTATGGTGGGCCTTTTCCTAATTAATTATTGTAATTAAATTCTTTCTTTGGATAATTGGTTAAATGATTAATTGGTTTTAGGGGTCGTAACACGGGGTGTTACACCGGCAGCATCAGGGGTGGAGGAAGACGGCGGAAGCGCCGCCACAATTGCTTCCAACAG